AATTATGAGCTAACCAAAGCAGTCAACTGCAGGAGCTTCCTAGTAAAGTTTCAGCTTGTATCAGCTGCTTTGTGGAAATTGGAAGCCTTAGGTAGGGCCTGCCACATTACCTGGCTTCGGCCTATGTCTTGAACCTAATGTGAGCAGCAGGTGCTGATGTTAGCTGGCACTGGACTATGATTTATTTATTATGTTATGTAAAATATAAGAAATGTTTCTTAAATGCAAATTGTCTTGTAAAAATCTGTAGGCATGAAACTCAGTGTCCAAATCCAGTTTAAAGACATTTTTTCCAGTGTTGTGGTTATATGGCGCAACAAATTTTCCCAATGTTCTATTGTTCAGTTTTTCCCCTGTTCCTTGTTGACAGAAGTGGCAGAAGTCTTCAGCCACTACAGCCCATCTGCTTCATGGTTCAACGTGTTGTGCATTCAGGGCATATTAAAAGATTCAGAGATGCTCATCTGCATTCCTCAGTTGTAATGAGTAGTTGTTTGAGTTACTGCCTTTCCATCAGCTCGCACCGGTCTGGCCATTCTCTGACATCAAGAAGGCGTTTAACAGAGAAGTGCCGCTCACTTGATATTTTCTCTTTTTCGGACATTTCTCTGTAAACCATGCCTCATAGAAAGTCACTTGAATCACCTGTCTCCCCCATTCTGGTGCTTGGTTTGAACATCAGCAGGTCGTCTTAACCATGTATTCATGCTTAAATGCATTGTGTTTCATGGCTGAAGTGGTGGTCCAGCCCTTGTTCACGGTTCCTGCCTGCTGCTAATGATCTCTGTCTGTTTTTGTTTGCCTTCTTGCTCCCTCTTTGGATTTATTTGGACAGCCTTTGCTGACTGACTGTTGCCGAGCCTGTTTTTCAACAAAGACCATGAGGGAAACTGCCTTTTTACCTTATCTGCTCTCCTTCAGTGTCCTGCATTTTGTTCCCACAACTTGGATCAAAACTGACACGCAGGCCTAAATAGCTACATACTCAAGGTACAAGATTTAGGGTTGAACAACAAGATTAAGTTGTAGTTCTCTTAATGCTACTCACAGAAAACAAAGTTTTATACAGTAGAGGGGGAGATCAATAAGTCATAGTGCTGAGGATGAATTAAAGAGGCTAACAGCCTGAGGGAAAAAGCTAGTGGTATGACAGCTGATATTTCCAGACGTCAGCAGGGTGAACAGGCTGTGGGTAATCTTTAGTATCCTTTCAGCTCTGCGTAGGCACCTTGTAACACCCTCAATCTAGTTCCCAATTGACCAGTGTATAAACTGGGCAACAATAAGACACTGTACAAATCATAGCCTTCAAATTTATTTGTATAAGAGACATGCAAAGGGTTAAAACAAGACTGAGGCTAAGATAGATAAAAAGAGAGTTCAAATGGGGGAAACTTAGTTAAACGGAAGTGCAGTTCGTCGTAGCTGGGTGTGCTCAACTTCATCTTCCTGTGTGGGCGAAGCGAATCACAACAGGAACGGGTCCGCTGTTGGTCACAGGCTGGTCGGTTGTAGCCTCACTGCTTGGGCCTCTGGTAACTCTACTAAGTAGCAGCGGCTCTACACTGGCAGCTCCCCAGACCACGACCCAGCCGTGTACCACACTCTTGTAAAGAGTCAGCAGCCTCAGCACACCCGCACACCGGAGACAAACAGAAGACCCTGAACAACATCAATTTATAAACCATCCCATACAGACACTACCACCAGCCCACATAACAAGAGCTACCCCCAGGGAAAAAGACAGTCAAAATCACTCTGTACCTGCACACAGGAGACAAACAGAAGACTCTTGAGCCTAGTGTGTGGCTGGTTAAATAGTTTGCTAATGGATGTCATGCCCAAGCACACCTGTCTGCCATTAGTCCATACCCATGCAATTAACCCAAGTGCAAAACCACTCCCACCAAATGCACACTCACTCTAAGTGCTCACCCCTCACACTACCACTGCACTCAAAATTGGCTGATACAGGTCTACCCCGTTACAACCTTACCTCACTCATATCACTGATGCTTGGGAGATGGGTACCACTGATCTTCTCAGCAGAGCCCTCCGGTCCTGGGCCGTGCACCTCCTATGCCACTTGGTGATGTTTCCAGTCAGGATGCTTCCTATTGCTCTTCTGTAAAAGCTGACAAGAACTTGGACATTTGTTAATGTCTTATGTTTCCTCAAGTTTTACAGCTGCTTTTGTTACCAGATTGGAGATGTGAGATGACCGTGTCAGGTTACGCTGATTCCCAGGAACCCTGAACTGTTCACCTGCTTCACCTCAGCTCATCTGATGTAGAGTGTTGTGTGTGTCTTTGCCTCATTAGCAAATACATTTTTTTACTCCATTAATTTGGTTGAAATATACGAACAATCAAAACAGCAAGCTTCTTAATTTCACACCTTCATTTAAAAAAAGTAGTTTTAATTTATATGCTTATAGTGTGAGTATTTTGTAACATCTACTGTAGGGGAGAGTGGGGTGATTTGAGCCTGTGGAGAAGTTGAGCCACCCCTTGTTTCTTGGCAGCCATAGACAAAACTGGTCATGTGACCACACATTTTTGAAGAGTAATCCATTTACCTCACCCTGTGATGGAGAGAGGCCCATGGAATAAGTGATAAGCACATTTAAGAATCTAAACTGCTGGATGACACAAGTTTGTTACAATGGCAGCGATGGGCTAATTTGAGCCAAAAGACCTGGGGGAAGTTGAGCCAGATATCTTCTGTAATTTTACATTGCATTCTTATGCATCATCAAAATGATGTGACATTATGTATTTTAGACCAGAAACCATCATGTCATGCTTCTATAAATGTAAGACAGACATGCTTCAACTCCTATTGTGGGTTTGGACAGAGTAGTGGGACAGGTACAGAATGGGAAGTCCATTCATCAGGTGGCACAAAACATGACGATCAACAGGATGACTTTAAAGTGATACATTGATATGAAACAACTAGGAGACATAGCTGCAATGTTTTACTATCTAAGTGCAATTGAATGTTGGGACCTGGCGTTTGAGTTTGCATGATGAAATGACATTTATGTAACCGACCCCCATATGGCTCAACTTACCCCTCATATGGGGCAAGTTGAGCCAAGAGTCAACTTTTTTTTGGAAAGCCATATTTTGAAAACAGTTTATTTTAGATCTAAATTGATTATTCCCAGGGATGCACCACATCCTGAAATATATGTACATATTTTAGTTGGAGACATTGCTGTCATGTCCTCACTTCAAAAACACATCAAATAAAAAACTGGCTCAACTCACCTCGCTCGCCACAGGAAACATTGACAGAATAAAACTGGTCTGTCAGAATATGCTGTTAGTCAAGTATGTGGTTTATTTACTTGTTCAGATAGGACTACTTGTCTTATTCTATTGTGAAGCCGACCAATTGTACTCTGTTCAGTAGCAAACGTTATCTCACTATAATTACTTTTTTTATCACACATTTATCACTAACAGTATCGCAGACAATCCCTGTAGTGCCTTTTATGATCTGGTGTTGAAAAAGGCTCATTCAAAGGCAACTAACTAAACTATTCTCTAGTTAGATTCCCACATGCATTTAACTAACTTTTTAAAGTCATATTTAGAATCATAATAATGCCACTCGGCAAGAAGCTATCATTTCATCATGGTTTGTATCTTTCTTCAGTTTCTCATATATTATCGAGGCCAGTGGTTCTCAAACCTTTTCACATGAAGGACCCCTAAACTAATAAAAATTAGACCGTGGACCCCCATCTGATAATATTTTGGCTTTTACAAGTTTTATTCCAGAAAGTGTATGAAACCCATGACCCAAGTCACACATTCTCTCACTGTGTTACTTCTGGATAGAATTATGACAATAATCTATTAATATAAGTATAGTGAAAATAAATTATTCCCCTTTTTTTCTGGGGTCCCCCTGGAGCCCCCTCAAGGGCCCCTGGGGGTCCCCAGACCCCAGTGAGAACCACTGATCTAGGTCTACTCTGTCTACCTTATTTTTCAGGTGTATGTAGAACAGTGGTGAACAGTAACCAAGTAAATTAACTCAAGTACCGGTTAGAGGTATTTGTACTTTTTCTACTACAGTGTAGTTGTGAGTTACTTTACAAAGTAAGAATTTTACATACAAAACATATGAAGAGTTTAAAAAATATGATGTTTCCAACATGTCAAGTACAGCTGGTACATTCCTTGATGTTCATCATTTTTCATGTAAAAACATTTCATTGGTGCAGCTTCACAAAGGAAGTGAAGATAATAGTTACATAGTTAAACCTCAACCAACTATAACAGTAAAATCCTGCTTTTACATTAATTCACAAGTAATAACAATCTCATGATATAACAGTATAACAGTCACAACTGGGGACATTTTTCATTCTGCATTTACTTTAATTACTTTAAGTACATTTTCCTGTTACTAAAGCAACATTTTTAATGCAGTACTTTTACTTGTAACAGAGTATTTTGACAGTGAGATAACTTTTACTTAAGGAAAGTATCTGAATACTTCATCCACTACAGATGTAGAATGACAATGTTGTCTGGGCCAACACATTTCTATGCAGCAAGGTCACACCAATATGAACAGAGTGACCCCTACTGGTGGCTTGCCGCTACTGAACCCAGGAGTTGCACCTGTTAAATATAATAATTTCCCCACACATCTTTTCTTTCTTTCTATCTTTCTTTATATATACTATATATGTGGTTTAATGTTGCGATAATCTATCTTAGCCGCTGTCTTGGGGTGCTCATTTTATTTTCACTTACCTGTCAGGCAGTATTTATTACTAAACTAAACAAATTCAATCTTTCCAGATGACATGGACATGTTTAGTCAGACATGATAAAGGTTATCTTTAGGGCGGCTGTTTTGGTTTCGGTCTGTCAATCATTGAGAGGTAGCTTGTGTTTGTTCGCCGCTGCCTCAGTGGATAAACCCTCCGGCTCTCCGCAGTGTTGATAGGCCGGTTTCTTGTTGATATTCTGTCAATCAACAGTGGGAGTGGGAGAAGTCAGTGTGGCTAGCATAGCAGTCTGCGCAGCAGACCCTAACCAGGAAGTCTACAAAGTTGCTAATTAACACTAGTTTCAATTTGATTTTCCTGAATTAACGTTGAAACATCGGCATGAGTTCTGATTCTCCTCCGGTAAGCTGCAAATTACCGAGCTGTGTTTGACATGACACTGTAATGCACACAATTATTAGCTTGCTAGCTGCTTTAGCTTTAGCGTCGCCATCGTTCTCCCTCAGCTAAATGTTAGCCGCTATGCTAACGTTGTTTGTTGACAGCCCTGTACCACAGTCATAACAACTTACCTAGCGTTAGCTGTAGGTTAGCCTGATATCTGTTTGTACGTTTCACTGAATTAATGCGTTCACCCCATAGACTGTATGGTTTCACCCTGACAGACGCCAGACAACTGCTGACAACTTTGTGAACTAACTGTAAACATTAACTCAGAATTGGAGAGTTTAAACGCGAAACCGCAGGTCGGCCCCTGTCAGACAGACAAAGAAAAATAAATATGTAGCTAGTCCACGCTAAAACATAGTTAATTCTATTGGTAGATAATATGCATATGAATTAATGTTAAAGGAAAAAACTAAATGTTCTCACCAGCCCTTACAAATTATTAGGGACATAGTTATTAACATTTCTACGATTATAACCCAGGTGACTTGATGTTGTCAAACATTAATAAAACAGAGCTAAGTTATAACATAATAGTAACACATTTAAAATGTTGTATTAATGTATAGACAGATGTAAAAGGCTTAATAGATATTGACTTAATATTTTTGCGGCCATGCATCTCAGTTAATGCAACTGTAGCTAGATAGGTTGATAGAGTACTGTTATATGATATGTTATATGATAATAAAAATAAAACACCTAGATAATTAATTGATTGATTAATTGGATAGTGGTATTGGCGTCCCCACAAACATTACATGGCAGATCAAACATCCAACGTCATCATAAAGAATAACTCTGGGTTAGTTCACCTAATTGAAAACTTACGGTAAGGGAAAAATAACCACACAGGTGTTTTGGTCAGTCCTTGTTTACATGCCTTTTTGATACCTGTTTTGCAGACTATTGGGGAGTTATTCCTCATCCTCAGTGAGATGGGTTTCACAGAGGATCAGATCCAGGCAGCTGTACAGGCAGGCCATTTTTCTGTGCCAGATGCAGCCGAGTGGTGAGTTGTCCCAGCCCTTTTCTTAAAATAGTTAACATTCATTAAAGGCTAATAATTTCCCTTAAGTTCCTAAAAGACCACTTCTTTCAGTAAATTACTTTTGTGTCCTTCTCTCATGTTGACAGGCTCTTACAAGGTCAGTATCCACGGCACAGGTTGGTCAAGCATTCATCACAGCCAGCTGAGACAGCATTTTCTGCTTTCAACCCACCCAAAGTGACAGCGAGCACCTCAGAGACACATACATCTCCTTCTGACAGCAGAGGTAAGCTGTAAGCTCTAAGACTATGTTTTCTTTTATTGGTGGGGTATGCAATTCTGTAGAAATTCTAACACCTGGACAAATACCATGATGTAGAGCAAACAACGTCACAGCAAGTAATGTAAACTAAAGTTAGCTAACTTGTAGAGAGGACGAGACGATCCCAGAGCCAGCACAGCAGCTCCAGACAGCGATACTCAACTCTCCTGCTACTATAGCTAACATCACAACAGCATGTCTTGGCAAACTAGACAGTTAGCTGAATGTAGTGGGCAGAGCCTCGGCCGATGAAAGCAGACGATTGGCTTTCTAGCGGAAGGGGCGGGATAACCGCCATCTTTGGCATTACAGGCTTTCCGTGTGGGATTGTATTAAGGATTCTTAAAGTGGGGTCTCTGTAAATACTTCTTTGTATTCACGTCATGTTTCAATAAGACTGAAAGAAATAGTTTAGTACGCAAAAATAATTTGTTGTTGTTATTTACTTCAACAGTGTCCCCTTCGTTGGTGCTGAGACCATCACAGTCATCAGCCCAGTCCCCAGAACCACTACCAGTCGAGTCCCGCATCAAACAGGACAAGAGTGACTTTGAAGAACAGCAAAGACAGCGTTGTGCTCAGGAGGTCCGAGCAGAGAGAAGACAAAAGAAACAGGTCAGCAGTGCTAAAAAAAAAGAAGCCAAGAATCCGATGATAATCTCAGAACAGAAAAGAACATCTTGTCTTATGTGTGTTGCTCTGCCAGGAGCGCGAGTTGGTGTTAAAGCGGATAGCTGAGGATCGGAGGAGCCTGCAGGAGAAGATCCAGACCAGTGCCGCCGCAGAGACGTCTCCACCCAGTGTTCAAGAGCAGAAGCTTGGAGGAAACATTAAGACTAATCTGGATAACAACTGCACCCTCATGGTGAGGCTATGAAGAATTGAAATGTCCGTGTGTGCATGAAGTAGGTGCTGTCAAACAGAACAGAATTGCAGTTGTTCAAACCTCGTGTTTTTTGCTGCAGATTCGGCTGCCATCCGGTGAGTCCATGCGTGAGCGCTTCCCAGCTGATGCTCCTCTGCGCAGCGTCGTGGAGCACATCACGGGACGTCACCCCTCCCTACCTTCCTTTTCCCTCCTCCAGGGTTTTCCACGGAAACGCTTTGGGGAGGCAGAGCTTGCTTGTTCACTGCGCTCACTTGGTCTCACGCCCAACGCTTCACTGTGTATTCAGACCACTCCTCCAGAGACACCTCAGGATCCACCGAGTCCCGCAGATCCACCAACAGTGGGACAGAATGAGCCACCTCCAAGTGCTGGGACTCCTCCTGTGCCACATATCCCTGTCCTTGAGCGGGCGGGAGGGCAGGAGCTTGTTCTACCCCCTCCCCTACCCAACCAGCTGTGGGAAGAGGCAGTGAATTATGCAGGGATACCTGGAGGTCCTTCACCGTCTTGGCCATCTCACTTCTGGGGTAAGTATTACATGCTTGGCTGTTATACCTTGCTTATGTTTATTTATCAAATTGTTTGTTGTGAACAGTTATATTACTGTAGTAGCCTATGCAATTTATTTAGAGTTGCAAAGTGGAAGTAGTTTTCCCAATCTGAATTCATTTAAAATGTTTTTTTAATGTTATTCAACATGCGAACATTGGAGTCTACTGGATGATGTTACAATCCTATAGGTTTATGTCATGACCAGTTTTAATTATTTCATCTTTAGTTCTAATACGTCGTGTTTTCACGCTCCGACTACCTCAAATACTTTGAGACCCATGAGCCTCAGCTGCTTTTACCAGGGAGGAGAAGAGGCCAGTCAGAGGCATGAACCAGAACACTTCTTTGTTGCAATTGGCAACATAACACAGCAAATTAATTCAAATTAATTAATTCAATTAATTCAAAATTGATCCAGAATCAGAAAGTGAAGTCATTTGAGGTGCAGATTGTGTTTTCAGTATAATCTTTGGCTTTCATTCGCCGTTAGCGGCACAGCTTACAGAATTTTAAGCTCAGTGATTGGATGTTTGTTGCCGAAATGCACACTGGGAGTTATAGTTAACTTCTCACCATAGGTTTTTATATTTTAGTTTTTTCTTTACCACATATTTCTTTAAGTAACTTATAATTCAACCGGTGAGAGATCACCTCTCATTGTCTTTGCAGAAAATTAGTGGGATTTTTACTTCTGAAATAGCTCCTCCCACTTTGCCACTGTATAGGCTCTGTTGTTTCAACAAACCACTATGTTGAACATTATTCAAAAGAGCTGTTTAGTCATTAGATGACATTCCTGGTGCTTTTCAACAGGGCGGGGAAATAGGTTGGTACCTGGTGATGCCGAGGGAGCTGCTGACATAGAGGTTGATGAGGAACAAGAAGGAGAGGAAGAACCACCTCATATGCTTAACGGTACTGCTCTGTGTGTCTGGGGTTGTTGCAGACACCTCATCCCTCCCTTGACCTACATTTTACTTGCTTTCACCCCTCTCTCCTCCACTTTTCCTGCCTCAACGTGTCTCCATTAGTCATCCATGTAGAACTTTTTGTTCTTCTGTGCCAGAAACAGATGTTCAGCTGTTTGGCGTAACTTTCATTCAGTATCTTACTGTATGTTGCATAAGTTTCCTAATTTACAGAACATACTGCCCTAGTAAATGTGTCTGTAAGAAAGATTTGGATTAGGAAATACGTAGGTGAATGCCCTATTTCTGTCAAACGTGTCAGAACTGCTGAGCCCCGCCAGTGAGAACTGAAGTTCTTACAGCCACACAACCAATCGTATTTAGTCTTTCAGACCATGTGGTTGTGGTATATCATATTATTCTGAATGTGTGCCAGACTAGAGAGTGAACAGAGCTCAATACCAGTAGAAGCTAGAGGAGAATCAAAGACCCAGAAGAAAAGATGTTGATAAGAGGTGTGACAAAAGTTTTTATTTCACTGTAAAGACAGTAGGACTAGATAAATGCTCAAGAATGGAGGGGTGTTATATTAACAGTACTGCAACTTACACTGTATATAAATATAGGCTGGTTTTGGTTGTCAATGACTGCTTTGATTTTTGTAGTAATATTAGAATATATCCTTATGGATTACAATTGTGACTTGTGTAATTTTCACAGGAATGCCAAGGCTGCCTTTCTTTCCGGAGAATAGGTTCCGTGGAGAATGTGAGCCCAGGCACCATTGGCCAGAGCAAGGCAACCGACTCAGGTGGGTGTCTAGACAGACTGGCTCTAATACAATGTGAGAACTGTATGATGATACAACTTTATATATCACAGTTGCAGTATTTTCCACTGGACCTTTCTACAGGGTTTTACAGCTAGTTATAATGAATCATTCTGAAGGTGGGCAGGGCAGACTTTCACTATGGTTTAAAGTCTATTATATTATAAATGGAGCTGAAATCAATTAATCATTTACGACAGAAAATTATCTACATTTTTCAAGCAAAAATGCTAAACATTTGCTTATTCCAGCTTCTGAAATGTGAGGATCTGCTGGTTTTCTCAGTTTTATACAATTGTAAATTGAATATTTTTGGGGGTTTGTCTGCTGTAAATAGAAAACAATCACTCTGAGAAACTGCGGTGGGCGTTTTTTGTTGCAATAACGTATCGAATTATATTGTTATCCCAATTAATGCAATTAATACTCAGTACCAGGAGTGACCAGCTTAATTAAGATTTATTGTTATAAATCTAACCATTTATGCAGAGGGGGGTTGGCTGAGTTTAAATGTTCTCTTCCAGCAGTTAGTCATTATTAAACTGGCAGGCAGGGAAGGCTTATTGATTGCATTCTTGAAGCAACCACGAAGTATTTTACATTTACATGAAAGGTACAGTATGGCTGTAAAGGACACTTGTGTTTGTGTTTTTCAGGGAGGCTCCAGAAGAGCACCCAGCAGAGCCTGAGGATGCGGGAGGCCGGGTGGCGCCTGGTGCTGCAGGACTGGCTGCAGTGGAGCGTCTTCAAAGAGCTGCACAGCAAGAAGACCCCCGTGCCTCCCAGGGACAACCATCACCCCCTAAAAGACCCTTCAGGGCACCCAGCGTGCCGTCCCTATGTGCCTTGGCCACCCGCGCAACTGTCCACCTTATGACTGGTAAGAGACTGTGTAGAATATAAAGAAGACTCGCTGATGATGTCTCATTGCTTTGTTTACTCACTGCAGCCATTCTTGGCCCCATGTCTCTACTCTCTTAGCTCCCAGCATGCAGTACAGCAGCAGTCTGGCGTGCCTCACCCCGGAGCTTGCAGAGCTTCTGCTCAACCACATGTCCCGTGAGAGGCTCCTACGTCCACGCACGCTGGAGCTGTTCTTCGGCTGCCCATTGCAAAAGTTTGTCCTAAACTGCTACCCTTACTCCACCAATGAGCTCCTGCGGCAGTTACGGGCCTTCACAGCGCTGAAGCATCTGAGTCTGGTCAACTCACCGCTCATCACTGGTATAGGATTTTATTCCAGGATGATTTCTAGGCTTTTCCTACTTTTTTCTCGTGTTTACTTCTGCAGCATGTTTGGATAACATCTGTGGTATTTCATTTTAATCTCCTGAACTTGTTTTGTCTAGACTCTGGGCTGTCAATCCTTTCCAGCCTGGTCAAACTCCAGTATCTCAACCTGGCCTCCTGTAGCAAACTGACTGACTCCTGTCTGCAGCATATCACAGGTTAGGCTGTCTACAAACCGTCTTGCAAACAAGGCTCAGGCTGTTACTGGGGGGCAGGGATAACAGGTATTATATATTATGTAACACCACTTTATAGGCAATTACGTGCAAGAACGCCAGATGCCAACATAAGCCGCTCTGTGTTAAGTACTTGTTTTTAGTTTTCAATGGGTTTTAAAGATTTTTGTAACGTATTATTTCCCTTCTATCGGTGTCCACAAGGTTTAAAGAGCCTATGTTTCCTGTCTCTGGACCACACCAAAGTAACCGATGCTGGGATGGTGCTGTATCTCAATTCAGCTCCATCATGCCTCTCTCAGCTCAGCCTGAACCAGACGGCGGTGACTGAAGCCACACTGGTAGTCTTGCCCACCTGTGTGCCACAATTGCGGCTCCTCAGCATCAAGCAGACTAAGGTACTTCAGCACTACACACATCTGGCATGTTTTTAACAATTTAGCATTTTGTTATTTTCTCCTGACTTTCTCTTCGTCTTGATGTTGCTCTGCCAGGTCAGAGATGTGTCAGCTTTGGCAGACCTGTCCAACCTGCAGACTCTAAACCTGGATGGCACAGGTGTGACAGAAAGCTCTCTTGAGCACCTCGCCACCCACCCTGCCCTGTCTTCCCTCAGTTTGGCGGGAATCCCTGTAGCGGATGGCAATCAAGCCCTGCAGATCATCTCAGGTTTGTGGAATGCTCAAAAATGAGCAGACATCAAACATAATGGTCCAAACTCTTTAGAGTGGTTTCTACTTTCCTTCCAGGTCTGAAGTTGACTCAGCTGACCCTCCCTGGACGCCACTGTGTGACAGACAGTGGGTTGACATTTCTCTCCAGACTGTCTCTGCTCTTTGAGCTGGACCTGACCGACTACACACAAGTCACAGATGAGGGAGTCAGCCAGCTCTCCACCATGGCCAGGTCAGTCCCATACTGTGTTATACAGTACAAAAAACTAAGTGTTTTTTGTACTGTACAATACATACAGGTCTTAATAACAGTTGTTTCTGTATGATTAAAACAGGGATATTGACTGGAGCATTGTGTGTACTCTTGTGTAGGTTGAAGAAGCTGTCACTTAGCAACACTCAGGTGACAGATGCTGGGCTTCCCTCTCTGCGCAGCCTGCAGGAGCTGCAGGAGCTCTGTTTGGACCGAACAGCTGTCACCAGCCGAGGAGTGGCCGAACTCATCACCTGTTTGCCGCACCTGCAGGTGATTTTAGTGGTGACATTTGTGTATTTGTTCATCCGTCAGTTGCCTAGCACAAGCTTATTTTCAGATTTGGTAGAGTAAAAAATGCAAACCTCCGCCTGTGTTGTTGATAAAGGTTTAAAGGATATTTTGCTGATGTTAACACCCCTCCCCTCCCTCGTGTTTTTTAGGTGTTGGGGTTAGCCAGCACTCAGGTGGGAGACACAGTAGTGAGGAGAGGTCTGATCCGCTGCAATCAGCTCATTAAGCTTAATCTCAGCCGCACACGGATCACAGACCATGGTACGGTCAAACTATAAAATCACTGCCCCTTTCTTCATCTTACTCGACCATAACTGACAAATGTAATCTTCTCTTGCTTGGGTGAACAATCTCTATGCATTTTTACATGTTTTCCTCAGGTCTAAAGTTCATGAAAAACATGCATCTGGCTCAGGTGAATATGGATGGCACCGGCGTAACTCTGATGGGTATTGCGAGCCTCCTGTCTTTCACCAACATCAGCAGCATTCGCGCCAGTAACACTCGCACCATTCCCCCCGATGAAGTCTCAGATGAGGAGTGGGAAACCCAGTGAGCCTTCATACCTTCGGTTGGTCCACACATACTGTACCTGAGTGCGACTCTGACTGCCGTGGCACCCTTTTAACCCCTGAAACATGCTGCCGTCAGGATACTCCAAAAAACGGCATAACTGAAACACTTCTCCTATTTGCACAGTTTCAACTGCAGCTAGTGCAGCCACTAATCTGTCAATCATGCACGCTACTAAGTTGAAACCTTAAACGGGAGCCTTGTGTTTAAAAACTTGGCCATTGATAACGTTTACGTATATGTAATCAATCTATATTTACTTGCATACACTGCAGCCCTTTTGTCTCCAACAGACAAACGCTACAGATTTAAAGCTTTATGTGCAGCCTTATAGGTTGAAGATATCGGTGTTTCTCCTGGTTGGCACTTTTTCAGCCGACTGGCAGGAGCATGTTAAATGTTGGAAATGTAACATGACACAGCGTGTATTTACAGACTGTAACGACTAACAGACGGATATATGTAGAAATTAAATGAAAACCTGAGAAGTGTCATTTCAAGGAAATCTGGTTGACATTTTATTGGAGGATATGAAAGCAGATGGTTTAAAACGGACATTGAATCTTGAGCTGTATTCATGTCATGTTGGACTTATTAGCAGAATTAATTGAGTTCACGTCAACCTCCTGATGGTTATTAGAATTATGTTTTTCTTTCTTAGGCTGAATATTTGGCACTGTTGATGGTAGCATTTATACATGCAGCAAACACTACTGTAGATATCAGCTGTTCCAACATGATAAAAATAGTTTCAGTTTATTCTAACAGTCATTTCTGCTAAGGACACAATGTCAGCTCCTGTTAGTTTATGATTGGCTTTAAACCCATAAAAATTAAACGAATGCACTTGTTGCTTCTGTATGGCAGGGTATTGTTGCCACCCTGACAAAATAACTGTCACAACATTTAATTGAGCAATTTCTCAGTTATTACTACAGTGTGTTTAGATCCATTGATGATGAGGACCTGGGTATGCATGGAGATATATAAATATTTCTTGTTTTGTTATAAACACACCAGTTTGTCAAAACAAGAAGTGTTTGCTAATCAGACAAGTCAGTACATGACATGAAACGTTTAATGAGAAGTTTTATCATAATGGAGGGGGGGGGGGGGGGAAATTGAGCTAACATTGAAAATGTGGTATGTTTGTTGCATACTGCTGCATTATCAGTATTCCGGTTTGACATGAACACTTTACTGTTGAGCTGAGAGCTCATAATGAAGGTTTTCTAACTTGTGATGTCACTTGTATACCAATTTACAGCAAACCACAAGTCACCAAAAAAAAAGCTTTTTAAATGCATCTTAGAGATGCACTGGATTCAGTTTTTTTTTTGGTCACTAGTTATGCCAAGAAATGCCAATATAATATCTTTTGGACAGCCTAGTTACTTCGTTACATGGAGGAGAGGGTGAGCAGGATACATACAGTGTAGTGGCTGTAATAAGAGGTAGGATCTATGCAGCCATGGGGCACAGAACCCAGAATCCAAAGCGAGTTCATTAATCATTTCAAGTTTTGTCCTCTTGTTTACAGAGATGTAAAATAGTTTATTTTCCCTAACAGCTTTTGATTTTTGGATATGAGCGTTGTATTCATCAAATTTAACATGAATAAAAGTCTTCTCAATCTAAATGTGCTGTTTTTATGTTCTGTTTATTCAGACAAACCTTTATTGCATTACATTGTTAAATAAGGCAGAACTGCTCTTTTACACAGGGAAAAAAAAAAAAGTCAACTTTTAAATATCATAAAATATGACCTAAAAGCTGCTGTATACATGTGGGGATAAAACAGAACATTTGGAAAAATAAAACTTTTCTATGAAGACAGCACAACGGAATGCGTTCCAAAATGCACCGAGACGCTTCAGGTGAATCAGCCAATCAAAGTGCAGCCTGAGGTGAAGGGGGGGGGGGGATGGGAGGAGTCAGCACGGTGTGGCACTGTCAAACCGAGATGGAAATACAGTAAATGTACAAGAGACGTGTCCGATAAGATGCATAAGAGATTGTTTCAGTTCTACTTGGAACATTTCCCGCAATGCAAATCCTGTTCACCCCCCCCTCAGGAGCACGCAGGTCAAATCCATGATGCAAGATAAAGGAGTGGCTCAGAGCGTGATGTTTTTTTTTTTTTTAGATGTCATGCGCTTGCTTTTCAATCTTTGATTTCAAGTGCTCCTTGTATGCCAGGATGTCCCGGTTCCACTTTGTGATGGTTTGATTCTCACACACCCAGATCTCCTGAGCCACCTGGAGAAAAAGGACATGGTCAAGTAAAAACCCAAGTCTGGGTTACGGTGCCATTTCCAACCAAATGTTTAACACATACCTGTTGAATCAGCCTGAAGTCGTGGCTAACTAGCATCATTCCGCCGTCAAACTCATTGACGGCGTCTGCCAATGCGTCAATAGTCTCAATATCCAGGTGATTGGTGGGCTCGTCAAGGAACAACATGTGAGGGTTCTGCCAGGCCAGCCAGGCAAAACACACCCGGCACTTCTGACCATCTGACAAGTTCCTGATCGGACTGACCTGGGAGGCGTTTCAGGTGTAAATTTAGAGACTGTTGCAGATCAAGACACAAACTTTGCACCTTCCCCACTTGTATTATCTGGGAGGAGTAGCCCAATCCTACCTGCTGTTTTCCTGTCAGCCCATAGCGGCCAATGATCTTCCTCATCTCCTCTTTTTCTTTGATCTCAGGGAAACACTTCATCATGTACTCCAAAGGAGACAGGTCCAGCTCCAGCTGCTCTGTCAGATGCTGTAACATAAGCAGATATGTAGACATTTTATAAAACATACACCAACCGATATGGGATTTTTAAGTCCAATACGGATTTCGATTTTTGAAGATTTAAGTCTGATATATTGGCCAATTTTCTTGTTATGTTGAGACAATACCAAAACACCATGACATAATGCAGTATAAAAAGAAACATTAGAAATAGTACAGCAAAATATATCAAAGTTTTGATAAAGAATAAAATGTATAAAACTACAGAACACATTTTTAAATTATAGGACTATTACTAATGAACAGTAAATAGTGTACATATTGTGGGGGCCAGCAAAACAATATATATAGTACTACTAAAAATACCATATCCACTGATAAACATGGCATTAGCTTTGTGGCAAATTTACCAACGGGCAGCATTGTGCTTAATTAGAAGTAATAAATTAGATAAAATGACAGGACTGATCACTTGAACTGCCCTACTGTTTCAGATATACATCTGCAATCACGTCTGTCGGCAGCATAGCCTCCAACACCCAACTACCGTAACATTAAACACACTGCTGTGAACCTGGAGAGGGCAGTGAAAAACGGGAGGGTTAGCAAGTCTGGTCTCCGAAGAGAATTGATTTGGGCTGTTTTTATATCTCAGTCATGTAATTGACGTGACAAAAGACCAACTCACTGGGAACACGGAGTGTGAGAGCTACCAGGAGCTACTCTTCGTAGCTCTGGTAGACTTCGGTCAGCTGATGTTTTGTTCTGTGGTGCTGCAGCGTTTTGAACAGAAGAGCGCTGGTGGGCAAACTATGCAACACTCATAACATGAGGGAAGGATCTGACCTTCCGTTTCTCTTTTTTAATAGTTATATATCGGCCAATAATATCCGCAAAACAATAAATCGGTCGGGCTCTAAATACACTCTACATGGAAGGTCTGTCATAGCATCGTTTCTTTTTAAGCACACTCATGTTCTGGTTGTTTAAGGGCACTCATAATTTAAAAGAGGCTCGGTGTTTTACCTGGTGATATCTGCCGATCTTCACGTGAGAATGTTTACGGATCATGCCATCTGTGGGTAGCAGCTGGGAAGAAAAAATAAAAATAAGGACATGAATACTCTGAAGACAACTGCAGGTTGTTGTGGCATAATGGGGAAGTGAACTGTACCTACCTCTCCCATCAGCAGCTTCAATAGTGTGGATTTCCCTGCTCCATTGGGCCCCACCAGAGCCACTCTTGTATCCAGGTCAATACCAAACTCCAGGTTTTTATATATGTGTGGCTATGGGAAACATTAACAGATGAGTGAGGATGAATCTGTATTTCAGTGAACAAAGTTGTCTTTGCTGCAGTAATAACTATACTCACTGTGTTGTCACTGTACTTGAAGCTCACGTTCTGAACCATGATAACAGGGGGAGGAATCTTCCCACAGGGAGGAAAATAAAATGACAGAGTCTATGGGAGACAGAAGTAGGTAATTGTAACACATGCGCCATTGGCCAAAATTCCTCACCGGATCAAAAGTCTGCAAACCACTTAGTTACTAGAACAACATTTCAATGACATCAGAAACCAACATCATTACAGTACCTTGTCATTCACAACTTTTTCAGTCAAGCCTGAAGCCACCATCTTCTGCAGAGTCTTCTCTTTGCTCTGTGCCTGTCGTGCCAGCTTTGCAGAGCCGTGACCAAACCTGGCTATGTAATTCTAGAGGAGAAACAGTGAGAACAAGTTTTGATCCAGCTAATCCAATACCATAATGAATGTTTGTAAAGGTTTTACAGTTCCACCTCCAGGAAACTGTTTAGCAAAGGTCGCTAGTTACCCAAATCCCGATCAATTTAGTTGGTGACAGCCAACACAAGTGCCACAGTAATTAGAACAGCTTTGCTGTGTAAAATAGCACCTCTACCCCCCTCTTTCCCCACCAAAGTTAGTTATAAAGTCATAAAAATTAATTAATGATCTTATCGGAAGTGGAGTTTGTTTTATTGTGGAAGTGAGTCACTGTGCATTAAAACTAGGGCTGAACGATTGTGGGGGGGGGGGGGGGGGGAGACTAGGCAGGAAGTCAGACAGAACGGCAGAGAGAATCCGTTCGATTTTCAAAATAAGACACCCATTGGAAAATCTAAATAACTCAGCAAAAATCAGACGGGCAAAACGCTCTTATTCTTAAATGCTCCATGTGGATATGTAACCTGCACAGAGCAGAATGGGCTCACAGAGAGCAGTTTTCCGTAGTTGAAGCACACAAAATGACAAATTAACAACGTGTGTAAATGCTCCCCTGCTGAAACACTTTGTGAGTTGACGCCGGACAAAACCGTGGCACAGCTGCCGCCTGTGCGCCATTATTACACGTTTTCCTCCAGTTTCGTTGTTGTAAAATGTACACGCCCTCTGCCCGCTCTGATTGGTGAGTTGGACCGTAACAGGATGACAACGGAATGAATTTGCAACTGCATGACTGTTTTAACCTTGCCGTGTTCACGATTAGCTAATTGCGTTCTTTTAAATCGCAATTTTAATTTGAAAACAATTAATCGTTCAGCCCCAATTAAAATACATCAGTTTGGCTCGTGAAACACTCATCTAGAGGGGGTGACATTTTTTTCTGCGCAGGGCCTAGACATGGACTCTTTAAAACATTCACCATGTAGTGTCTCTGTTTTACCTTCATGTGTGTTATCTGGTCCTGTTCCCAGTTGAAGCGCTTCATTTGGTTCTCTTCCAACTCCTCTCTGGTCTTCACATACTGGTCATAGTTACCCTTGAAGCAAAAATAGATTTGCATGGTCATCCAACAGGGCGGCACACAGACACATAATTAGTAACATCCTACCCCCAATTTCCTTATTAGTAACATCCTACCCCCAATTTCCTTATTTAGCATTATGAGTCCATTTAAGATACGTTTAAAGACCTTCCAAGGGATGCTAAGGCAGTTTTCCTTTCAGGCACCAGGAGTGGTGTCAACGTGTTCTTACCGTGTAGTATTTCAGTTTCCTCTGATGCAGGTGGATGATGTTGGTGCACACACCATTCAGGAAGTCTTGAGAGTGTGAGATGAGTACAAGGATTCGCTTGAACCTGTCAACACCAAGCAGGACGAGCAACATGCATCAACTGTTTTGGACTCTTTAAAAGCGATGAAGTGGGGGACTGAACTTACGACTTGAGCTCCTCCTCTAACCACACACAGGCATCCAGATCCAAGTGGTTAGTGGGCTCATCCAGCAACAGCATGAAGGGCTTGATGAACAGGGCTCTGGGCAAACAGGATAGTAACAAATTTTACACACTTTTTTTTTTTTTTTTTTAAACAGGAAACTTTGTTTTAACAATTTCATACACCATTACTCGTGTACCCTTTTGTGTGTTACTTCCACAGTTTGACTTACAAAATGTCTGACAGCAAAACAAAATTTCACCAATTTGAATTGGTAGTATTACGGTACTCAAAATGCAGACTAAAGTGTGCACAAAGTTTTAGTCACACTTTCATATGTGGATGCTGCAAGAAGCATCAAATCATCTCCCTGAATGGTGTAATACTAAGCACTTTGCCTTTACCTGGCCAGAGCAACACGCATCCTCCATCCTCCACTGAAGTCCTTCAGTTTCTTTTGCTGCATAGCAGCAGTGAAACCCAAACCGTGGAGGATTCGAGAGGCTCGCACCTCTGCCTTATCTGCATCCAGCTCCTCCAGACGCTCATACAGCTCCATAAGCTTCTCACACTCGGCTATACAGGGTAAAGAGAAAGGCAATTACTATTCATTTCAATCAGCTGAGCTACAGAATACCTATGAGAGACTCCACTCAAACTAGGTGTGCCGTCTCTCAACTGTTTTGCCTCCGACAATAAGTTTCCCCATCTAGAGTTGCAGTTATACAAATTAAATGCATTTCTCATTGTACACGTGTAACTCACAGTCCTCATGAGCAAGTCTCTCTGCCTCCTTCTCCAGCATAATCCTCTGTTCATCCACCTCCATGACACACTGCAGTGCTGTCTTGTCGCTGGGGGCCATCTCCCGGGTCAAGTGGTAAATATCGATGTGCTCTGGAATAGGAATCTCACGATGCCCGATGGCTGACAACAGCATGGATTTTCCTGGCAGAGAAAAGTAGATAAGAAAATTACATTTCTTCCCGATCATCATAGGTGCAGTTAAATGTTTTTAGTATGTCCAAGTAGCCAAAACTGCAAAGGCGGGGAAAGGTATCAGGTACCAGGAAGTATACAGTCCACTGACAGTAATATCATGCTCCAGGAGACTTTTACCTGTGCCGTTAAGGCCAATGAGCCCATAGCGTCTGCCTGAGTTGAGCTCCAGGCTGGTGTCTGCAAGAAGCTCTTGGCCATGGAAGGTGAGCGACAGGCTGCTAATGTGGACATCAGTGCTGTTGGGATGTGAGGCCAGAACGCCTGTCACTGCCCGTGCCTCTGTTTTTGCTAGCTCAAATTCATCCAGCTCCTTTGTCAAACTGGCAATACCTGTAAAAAATTGAGAAAATAAATCCTCTTAACTATTCTTCTCATATTAAGCTATACATGTACTGATTTGGCAAAATGGCAAGTTCAAGTGTAGTATGAAGTAAGAAAAAGTCAAGCCAATGGCAGAACTGATCTCAGGAACGATACACACCTAGTAAATCACAACCAAGCCTATAACATATGTTGAAAGATCAGTCCTCTCACCATTGCTCTCAGCTCCGTTGAGCTGGGTCTCTGGTTGTTCACCCTCCTCTTCAGTCTTTTTGGTACGCTGGCGGGCTTTAGCGGCCTCCTTCTTCTTTGCTGCCTTCTTCTTGGCTAAGTCGGATGGCATGGTTGTGCAAGGCTATTCAACAACAAAAAAAAATAATATAAAAAAAAGGTGGAATAATTGGGACATACAGATTAATAACCTCATTCTTTAATAATACCATGTTATGTAAGGAACATCATGACCATGCCCAAATTCCCAGGTGTTCTTTTCATTTCGGGAGTACTTTTAAATTATACCAGTGAAATATTATCAGAGTATCAATCCGGGTAGAAGTGGCTAATCGCTTACGAGTTGAACAAACGCCAATTCACAGTAGAGACAAACATGTGACGGTAAGTGAACTCACGGCGTAACTTCAATTTTCGTTTGATTTCAAAGAGGGACTACCGTTATCAGAAAAGGCCTAACATGGTCAAAGATTTGGGCCTTAAGAGCGCTGATGATGATGATGGTGGTGGTGGTAATGCTAACGAAGACCGCATTTCGGTCCCTTCCCGTCCCACCTGCTTGCACGTTGTGCTCAGTCTTAACATTACAACGCTTGATAGCCCAGCTGTTGCTAACGATAACCATTAGCTGATGCCGCTGATATTAACGGCGGATTTGCCACTTTAAAGTAAACTAGCCGACGACAGTCCCCAAACAGTTGCGTTAGCTGATTAAGACAGAATGTCACACAAAGAAGGATCATCACATCCATTTTTATAAACTAGCCGCTGACTGCGTTAGCTCTGTGGCTAAGCTAACAACTGACAGGCCTGAGCCGCTAACTTGACGAAAGGCCCAACTAGCTAGAAAAAGGTCTGACGGCGGTTAAAGAGTGTTTTTTCAAGCCTATATTTATTTGAACAGAGCCCTATATATGTTATCCATGTCAGCCATAGTTGTCAGGCACTGTAAACGTCGCTCTTACCTGGATAACGAAGTACTGGTCTCAGGAGCACACCGACGTCTCGTGTCCACTTTTCGCCGGGTGGATGTAGCCGAGCACCAAACCGCCAGACGGACCATATATGGTCAAAGAGGGCGGTGAGCATGGATGTACCCTCCCCTTGTCGTGGGACTGCAGTAAAAATGTCCCTTTGGTAGCAGATTTAATTTATAAATAAGTGAAATAAGGTAGTTAATACCTGGGACTAAGTATACAGAGGATACGTTGGTAAACCAAACAATAAAATGTGTCAGCCTGCTGTGATGGAGAGATCGTCTGAGATACTATAGGTGTCTAAAAGCTCCTTTTTTTCATCATCACAAAGATTCATACCGTGACACGGGGCCACATTAATCATATGTTCATAAAAATACGGTATTGTCTTGTTTTGGTCTTTGGTTTTCCAGAGGCATACAGGTCCCTTGAGTCAGTCAAAGGTGATGCAGCAGCAGCGGACGCTCAGTCAGGGATGAGGAGGGTAAAACCGACCCAAGAGAGGACGTTAGTTTTTACCCTCTGCGTGTGTGGCACTAAATTTTTTGAGGAAGTCAAGAAACTGGAGAAAATGGACGACATGTGCTTGGCTATGCCGGATGGTTTTTTTCCTGCTGTATCAACGATAAAAAATGGGATGTATTACGGCTTCATGTCAGTGTTGGTGGAGACGGACTGAGGAGCGACATTATCTGCACTAAAACAACGGACGCGATGCTAGCATGCTAGCTTGCTCTTTGATGTTTGTACCTCTTGAACGTTGACGTTGCTGTTCAGGTTATAATTTCCGATTTGCGATCAAAACTTTTGGATCCTCTTGCTTCGATTTTTTTTAGAAACTACTGACTGACTAGGTTGAGGTTAACTCAAACGGTGTTGCTACAATAGTTAGCTGACGTTAGAAGTGTCTTTTAGCGTTATAGCTAGCCAAAATTAGTTAAGCTAATTAACATAGCATTAGCCCAAAATGCAATGGTTACACAGTTAACGTTAACATGACAGTGAGCAACACAGTTACAGCAGTTAAGTGGTTTTAAGATATTTGCAGGTATTTGTTTTTTGGGCCGACTAGTTTGTACATTGGCACGTTTACAGTTTGGGCATGTTCAGTTGTGGAGTAAGAGATAAAACAACATTTATTACATTTTCAAAATCTGTAAGTTGTTACCTACGAGGTAAAATTCAAATATAATATTTGCCTGATAGGTTGATTAGAAACTTTACTACTAACATACTACCTCACCGGATGGGACTGAGGATAGACATTATGTGACATTTAAGGCAATTTTCGTTCTGCCAACAAATTGACTTCCCGTAATTTCCCCTTTTGTTTTGGCGTTAAAATGTGTTAAGTTAAGGCAGGAAAGCTCTTCAAATGCTCCGCAGCAAGTAAATTTTTCCAGGACAGCTTCATCAAGTGTAGCTCATATCTGCCAGACATGCGTCTCTCCTCCTTTTTGGCCGTGTTCAGGCCTGCTTTACCCCTTCTCCTCGGCCTGTCCCTGGGGTGCAGTCTGAGCCTTTTGATGGTGTCCTGGACACAAGGGGACACCGATGAATCCTGTGGAGATGAACTGGGCAATGGGAGGCATTACATGGGCCGAGGAGATGCCCAGAGAGACTCCAGAGATGGAGCTGGAGATGACTTCCAGCCACGTATCGTGCCCTATCACAAGGACCCTAACAAGTCACACAAGAAAGTCCTCAGGTGAGTGTGTAAGACATGTATTTGTCATGTTGCCAGATGCCAAAACACTACAATAATGTGCACAGCTATGCTCTACAAAGAATTGTGTTAAAAGTCTGCCTCTGTGTTATAAAAGGGGCTTTTTTGCAAAACCTACACATGTAGCCATTGACTTTTTATTCTACAAATTTAAAGACAGATTTGTTAAAGAAGCACTACATCAAAATGTCTTTTTATCTTCCAGATTTTGTTTTAAGAAACAAAACAAAGAGGATTTACATTTGTTAATTTTCTATTAAGTAGGCTTACATTTAAATCTCCCCTGCAATAATCTTAATGCACTGACTGGAATATACGGTGTAGGTGGCCTATAGATTAGGGATTACATCAATCTAATCTCTTTGTACAGATATACAGTGGCTCAGATGTAGAGAGCAGATATGTTGATCCACATATTTCATCCTCCTTTTCATGTCTTATTTCAAATCCTACAACTGATTATTGGATGGAATTTGCCTTATAATAGCTTTAGAACTTCATGTAAATGAATTTGCATCTGTTGACGTCTATATTTCTTATTCCCCTTAGGGTTAGAGTCCCTACGTGTTAAAGGGTTAGAGTCCCCTTAGGAATAGAGTAATAAGTAAATAAAAGGATAGAGTGGGAGATGGGGAATAAAAGAAGAAAAATAATCAAAGGTGACGGACCTGCCTGTTTTTTATTTTCTATTTAACTCTTTTAAAACTTCGAATTACCTTGTTGTTGAAATGTGCTATAAAAATAAACTTGCCTTGCCTTGTGATGGAAACAGATTGACTGTTTACCTGTTCATCTTTCATTCTGTTTTTGTTTTTATGTCCTGTATTAATTTGTCTTTGCTCGTCCACCTCTCCAGAACTCGGTATATTCACACTGAACTGGGCATCAGAGAGCGACTGCTGGTGGGTGTCCTGACCTCTCGGGCGACCCTCAGCACGCTGGCCGTGGCCGTGAATCGCACAGTTGCCCACCACTTCCACCGCACCTTTTTCTTCACAGGCCTGCGCAGCCCTAAGGTGCCTCACGGCATGACTGTGGTTGCCCATGGTGATGACCGTCCAGTGTGGTTGATGTACGAGACAGTGCGTCACCTCCACCAGCACTACGGCTCAGACTATGACTGGTTCCTCTTAGCCCAGGATGACACTTACATGCAAGCAGATCGTCTGTCAGAGCTGGTGGGTCACCTCAGTGCAGGTCAGGACCTGTATATGGGCAGGGCGGAGGAGTTCATTGGCGGAGAGGAGAAGGCACGCTACTGCCACGGGGGCTACGGCTACCTGCTGTCCCGCAGTCTGCTGGCCCGTCTGCATCCCCACCTTGATACCTGCCGTAATGACATCCTCAGTGTGAGACCTGATGAGTGGCTGGGCCGCTGCATTATTGACTACCTGGGTCTCAGTTGTGTGGAGATGCACCAGGTAAAAAAAAAAAAAATAGACACCAATAGAAATGTGCATGGAAATTATAGGAGTAGTTTTATTAATGTCCATTTGAAACAATCTTATTGCCAGAATATCCACATTAACATTTCTCCTCTTTGTCAATGTTTGTGTGGTTCACAGGAGATGACATATCGTTACTTTGAGCTCGGGAAAAACGCAGATCCAGAGCGTGAAGACAGTGAACAGTTTATAAATGCCTTCACCGTCCATCCTATATCAGAACCAAATCTCATGTATCGCCTACACAAACGCTTCAGTCAGATTGAGCTGGAACAGACTTACCTACAGATTCAACAGCTGCAGGTTTGTCATACTTTACTCTGCTTTCTCTCTACTATAAACACTTCTTCAGGTTTGTTTGTGTAACTCTTATCTGATTGGACTGCATCGGTGGGCTGCTTTGGCGTTGAGTTCCCTGTGGACGTATACTGTTCCCCCTCAGCACAAACACTTTTTGAGCCAAAGCAGATATTTCTGACCAATACAATATTTAAACGTGTCAGGAAGCCAAGACAAGAGTGTTTTGTTGAGGCATGAAATGTTACATTCCAGCGTCATCGTCTTGTGAATATGATCTGCCTGAGAAGCCTCATTATATAATTTAAGTAGCTGCTAATGATAGTTCATTAGCACTGTTTTGAAGATACCCTACACCACAGAGCAATCAAATATGTCATGAAGGCAAATGTTTACACAGTATGCTGCTTTTTAGCTTTTATTTGGCATTTGACAGATTTTTGTGTGTACTCACCAGATGCAGATCAACAACCTGAGTGACCTGACACCAGAGGGTAAGGCTGGAGTCACATGGCCTATTGGAATCAACCCTCCCTTCAAGCCGAGAACCCGTTTTGAGGTTATAAACTGGGAGTACTTCACTGAAGAGCACATTTACTCGTGCATTGACAGTTCCCCCAAGTGTGAGATGAGAGGGGCTGACCGCGCGGATGTAAATGCAGTTCTGGAGATTGCGGTGGAGCGTCTAAATGAGCGCTACCAGCCCCAGCTACGCTTCCGCAAGCGCCGTCTTCTTAACGGTTACCGGCGCTTTGATCCCACGCGTGGTATGGAGTATGTGCTGGAGCTCGCGCTGGAGGCCTACACCCAGAAAGGGCACAGTCAAGTCATTGCTAAACGGGTTAACTTGTTGCGACCTCTAAGTGCAGTTGAGATTATCCCCATGCCCTATGTGACAGAGGCAACACGGGTGCAGGTCATCCTGCCTGTCACTGCCCAGGATCAGGACTATGTTGGTAACTTCCTCGATATGTACGTGATGAACACTTTGGACACCCATGACAATGTTTTACTCACGTTCCTGTTCATCTATGATCCCTTTGATGCACAGCGAGTGAGCCAGACTGATGTGTTCGCCGGCATTAAGGCCATGATTGGGGAGGTGGAGAAGCGCTACGGAGACGTGAAGATCCCCTGGATCAGCGTGAAGACGGAGGTGCCCTCGCAAGTCAAGCTGATGGACATCATCTCTAAGAAGCACCCAGTGGACACGCTGTTTTTCCTGGCCAGTGTGTGGACAGAGATCAACGCCGAGTTCCTGAATCGCTGCAGAATGAACGCCATCAGCAACTGGCAGGTCTTCTACCCCATCCACTTCCAAGAGTACAGTCCTGCTGTTGTCTACCGCGACCAGCAGCCCTCTGCCGCCTCCTCCTCTTTTTCTTCTGAGTCACTGCGAGACGGCCGTTTTGACCGCCACGTTTTCGACGAGGCTTGCTTTTACAATGCGGACTACATGACGGCGCGGACCAAGATGGCTGCCGATATCTTGGACAACGAGGAGCTGCTGGAAAGCATGGACGTGTATGACATATTTGTCCGTTACTCGGGCCTGCACGTGTTCAGAGCCGTAGAGCCGGCGCTGATCCAGAAATACGTGCGGCGAGCGTGCAACCCGCGTTTCAGTGAGGATATCTACCACCGCTGTGTCCTCAGCAACCTGCAGGGTCTGGGGTCACGCTCACATCTAGCCATGGCTCTTTTTGAGCAAGAGCAGGCCAACAGCACCTAGAAGTCTGGACTTCTTCAGAGTGTCAGGGCATCAAACGTACTGCCTGGACTCAAGGACGCTCACGCAGAATAATGTGAATTTTAATATGGCACTTCTGTGATCCATACACTGAAATTCTCACCTCTTTGCATTTGGCAGAAAGAGGTCAGGATCAGCCAAAAGAACGGCATAAATGGGTGCTGATGCATACGTTTCTAGTTGTGTCCTCCTGCTGAAACTCTCTCTGCTCTTTATTTATGAGTACTTCTGACTTATGAGACAATAACTTTGAATCTGTCTAGACGAATTATGAGTCAAGGAGGTGTCTTCTCACAACTACCTGAACGTGGACTACTTGTATTCTTGAAACTGCCGTAATCTCACAGGAGCCGAGCAACAACGCTTACGCTCCAGACATAGGAGGTTGCGTCTTGAAATAATAAATGAACAACGGTTCATTGTTAATGATAAATTGAGAAAAAAACTTGAGCCATAGGTCTTCCTTAGTGGAGATGATTAAAATACTTCCGCAAACAAGCTGAAGCCATTGGCTGCCTTTTCTTTAAGATGTGTTGTTTTTCTAAGGTATTAAAGAGTGATATGTATGCTCAGAGTTGTTTCTTCATTGCTACTGTTCAGAGTAAAAACACTTGTTTCAGTCTCATTAGACAAAAAGACAACTGCTCACAGGATCTGTGTGCAGCATGCTTGAACAGTTACTCCTGGGGGTGTCTGTTATCTGCTTGGCAGAGCTGAAGAAAAGGCAGTATGGCAGAAAATGCGTGCTCATATTCAGCGCGATACTTCTTGTAGTCTTTCCAGTTTGCTTGAGACCTTTACTGCAGGGCCTGGGGGCAGTGAACAGTTTGTTCTGAAGCAGCCTGCCCCGCCTCGCCTCCTCACATTAAGTCAGTAATTCTCCACCCCGGCCCGGGCCTCCCTGGGTTTTGGTGAGTATTCTGTACACACGTCTTTCTGGGAGAGAAGTGAACCCAGTGCCCAAAGGGAGGGTCGTGTCATTCCTAGCCAAGGTCCGCCATGGCGTTGGTGGTTAACCTTCACAGCGAGATGGTTGAACAAGCTGAATGGCTTACTTCACGCAGCCTCCTCTCCCTACCTCCCTCCTCGAATGCACTGAGGCCCCCTAACCTCCCCTACCCACAAAACTTCTCCATGTAGAGGAGTTGTCGGCTCGGGAGAATATTGGAGCAGCAGAGAGAAAGAGGCTCTTTCTGAGGTGGGAGCGGGGCTGCAGTCGGCGTTACAGCACTGCTGCATTACACCGGGGAAAGGGCTCCACCTGTTTCCTTGTGGTGAGGTCAGCGAACAATAAAATGCCTGTCTACCACCTCTGAACGCCTCGCTCATGCTAAAGGCTTAACCCACTCATGAGCTTGAGCACAAAATCAACACTTTACTGATGCAGAGTATGACAGTGTTCTTTTAGTGAAGGGTAATTTAGCAGGGCTGCACAATTATTTACACAATTGCATTTTCAGATCCCTGCGACTAACAGCAGAAATTTGGAATATGGCGGAATAAAACCCTTCATTTGCTGTTATTTATAGACTGAAGATCTGCTGTGGCTGAAAATAGTACAGATGTGGATATCAAAGGGTGCGTTTGAGTCATTTCACCCTCTAAATGTTAAGAATAATACCTATGTATTAAAGTAACAACATATATTAAATCAGTTTGACATTTACCTATAATTACAGAGTCCAGATAGGTCAGTCTCTCTGAGACCACAGGTACCTGTTATTACAGGCAGGTTAGACGTGTTGATGTTGATCAAGTCAGCTCATAGTAAAGAATGGCCTATTGATTAGCTAGCAAACTTTGCATTTATCCTTTAGATCTACAGCAGGCAAACGTTTTAGCAAACAAAACCCCTCTCCACTGTATTTTAACATTTCTATGATATTTCATATTTTTCTGACTCATTTCCTTACAATTTAGATTTTTTTGACGTTACATGTTTTTGAATAGCTTAATTTTGTGCTCAAAGTTGCCAAAGTTGATTATTTCCTCAGTCAAACGTCATTCTCCAAACAGAAACACTGTCACGCCTCGTTAAGTCAGAGCATCAAACCGATAAACATCGTTGTGAGCTAGCTTACCAATTTGTCATATATTTTATTTTTTAGTTTCCTCCTCTTGGTTTAGTGTGCTGTTTAGTTTCATAATGGCATCTGTGTGTGCGGTGTTTGTAATCAGGTGTTGGACATCTTGGGTTGGAGGACAGATGAAAATGCATGCACCTCCAAGTACTGCTTTTAAACGCAATAATATTCTTTGTGGGGTCCATCAATGGTGTTAAATGATTCTAAGTATATATTTTATGAACGTTTAGAGTCTTTAATATTTTAATACACTAGAAGTACCGGTCCTTGACATTCAGTAAATATATGTGGTGATAACGCCGTTTGATCAGTGAGCTCAGCAAAGTGTCTGAAAAGGACCTAAAGAGGTGGATGCATAATTCAGAAGATCAAATTTTGTAGGCTACCTGCCGAGATTTGCATCCACCTCTTTTCTCAGCATAAGTGCATGCAGTTCTCGGCAGGCAGGCAGAATTCGGCACAACACCTGGTTTCACCGATGCATCGGCGGAGGAAATGGTATCAGAAGTCTGAAGCTGAGGAGCGATGCTGTCAGCGTTGCTGAAACGGTGAGTTGTGCACTGTGAAATGTTTCAAATGATTTATTCACACTAGCGAACTGACGTTAGTTGACGTAGTAAAACGTTTATTAATTAACATGAGCGTTCTCTGTGTGTGAGTGACTATTGCATCCTTATTAATTCATTCATTCATTCATTCATTTCAAGCCACAAGTGTGTGGTACCAATGCTTGCAATATGGAGGTCCTGAGAGCTCAACATACTGAAACTTAAGAAGACACATGATACATACATATTATTAAACACCACTCAGACAGAGAAGGTCGATCTCATGGCAGGGCCGGTGGTTGTTCCATTTAGGTTGGCTTTTGTTGTAATTACATTTTCTTCTTTACAGAAAGGAAGGATCTGGATCTGTGGAGGCCAGCCATTATTTAACATCTGTACTCAACTGCAGCTTCTTTCACTGTAACTGAGATGTGATGGTGAACCACGTTCAGAAACATCCATGAACACAGCACGCTGGAACCAGTCTGTTTTGAAACAGCCATTTTGGAGATTAAGAGTAAAAACACATCTTACAAATTACAAAAAACATTACTAGCTTCATTAGGATATAATTTATTGTAGGGCTGTTTCACTGGACTGCAATAGTTTTAGCTTGGTGTACCTTATTAACAGAAACTAGTACTTAATGTTCAAGGATATTCTGTGCAATCAAAAGCTAATGGCACTTTTTAATCACAAGGTGGCAGCTTTGCCTCAACACTTAACACAATACAAAAGTTCTATATGTTGTCTTTTCTTCTGTTTTTTTTCACACATGAACAACTTGTGAACTGCATGATCTGCCTTTTGTACAAGTGTCTCTCAGTAGTTCTGCATTTCAACCCCGATGGTAGAAAGGTTGCTGTGATGGTGTGTTACATTATAAACATGTTTTTTTCTTTCCCCAGCATGTAGCATCAGCCTTCATGGAGTCCACTGCACCTGCCCCGCTTAGCAGATCGGCCAAAAGATCCTGATGGATGGATGAGGCAGTCAGCCTTTGTTGGTTAACAGTTTAACATGGGACATAAATGTGAAACCAGCACAGAAGTCTTGGTTCGCGGTTTTCAGGTTAAGATATTTATTAATGAAGGCAAAGCCAGATCAGTCCTACAATTAATATTATCCTCGGCCAAAGACATACTCACTAATTTGTCTACTAAAAAACATCTCTAAAAGAGATTTAGATGAAATCTGGTAAACAAATATGTCTCAGCCAACGCTTGAGGTGTGACTTTTGTTGTTCTCAACATTGCAAGATAGTATTTTGTTTTGTCACTGTACTGTAAAGAATGGTCGCTGTGTATTTTCATGTGGAGCCAGTAGATGTTAATTAAAATATTTTCTATTAATAAAATCTTGAGAATTGTACAGCTTTGGTTTGCTCTTGAGTCTTTTCTAGTTTAAAATGGGGCAATTTTTTCATTTTTAACGTACACATTTGGTACATCCACATCCATATTTTTATTTATAATAAAATTTATCACATTTTATGTGGTTGCAGTCATATATAAAATGTGATAAATTTTATTATCAGCCAAATGAGGCTGTATAAAATGTGTAAATACCCCATTCTTCAGGACACAATACATAAAGGTAAGGACTTATAAATATAATGTTAGGCCCAGCAACCTGCCTGGAAGCTGTATGGTATGCTTGGTAAAATAGGGACACAATATCTACAGCTAAAGCTGATGAAAATATCATTATTGTCAGTGTGATATGATATATATGTAGTGGTGATGTTCATATAGACATTGTTCTGTTTCTTATAGCTTACATAAACAGAAATAACTCAGTTACAACTAAGTTTTAATCTCTCCAGTTTACTATTTATCCTCTTAGTAAAGTTCATAACAAGTCTACTTAAAATGCAGAAGTATACAGTTTGATAACAGCTGATACTCGCACATTAGTTTCTATACATGGGTACGTAATACTCCTGCCAGTACAGTGTGCTAAACTTTACAGTGTAGTGATGTTAACACTGCATGTGTTTAGAGAAAACAGCCGCAGTGTCCGGTTGCTATGGTAATTGTTTACGTCCGACTATAAACCGTCCCTCTATCTTCTGTTTGAGAAAGAACCTTAACCAAAAACGGCCTGAAAAAAACTCCACAACATGCAGCTAGACGATCCTCATCTGCTTTAAAGCTGCTGTAAGGTGTACAAAGATGACAAGATCGAGTGAAAATAGATCAAGTAACTCAGTGGTGGAGGAAATATCCAGACCTTTTGAGTAAGAGTACTAATACAACACTGTTAACATACTCTGTTACAAGTAGCTGAAAGTCCTGCATTGAAAATGTTACTTAAATTAATTAAATAAAAATATATAGGAATAATCAGGATTGGAGCTCTTTTTATTCACTGATTGATTGAGTGATTGATTATTGATAAGTAGTGATACATGTAGTGTAATTTCTATCAAGATAGATGCCTACATACATACAAAGATCTTAATGTAAAGTAACTAGTAGGCCTAACTAAAGCTGTCAAATAATTGTAGTGAAGTAAAAGGTACAATATAAATAAGTAAAATGGCGGGATGTCTTCTTTTATCATGTGCTTCCTTAGTGTCAGTGTAAAACTCATATGGAAAAGAAAAGTTCACATGTTCACTGGAGAATTACTCATCAATAATATAAATTTGTGATCACTGCAACAGTTCATGCAGCATTACTTATGAATTCATACCACATATGAAATATATAGCTCTAATTTAAAGCCCTCCTTTTAGTTTTGTCGCATTACTTGATTTATAAATTCAACCCAGTTCACTTTGTGATAAACGTAAAAAGTATCTTTTATAATCTTTAGATGTGAAAACAAGAGGCACTTGAATTGTAATATGATTATTATCTAATCTAATATCTTGCCTTAATCCCAGTGACAGTTACTTTATATGTACTACCACTGATTCCTAGAAAAAACAGATATAATTGGATATAACCCAGTTATATATATATATATATATATCAGTGGTTATGTTCTTGGTCGTTTGTCAGAAACATCACATATTGAAGGAAAGAGTATGAAACTCACATCCTGACGTTTATTTTAAATTATATCTTATGAGGCATGTTACCGGCATTTTTAGCCTTCACAACCAAAATAAATTAAAGTCCAGATTGGGCATGCCACAGATGAACCTCCTTCTCCATCAAACCCTCAGCCTTGCTCATTTAATTTCAGGCCCTGTGACTGTGCACTGTAAAGGACACAATGGGCAAATTAAAGCCTTCATCGAGTCCTTTAGCTTGTATGCCAGCCAGATTTCTCAAAGCGATGCAAACAGCGTTGGTCCCACTATTTCATTGATTGCAAATAGGTCTCTGTCCACTGGCTGTTTACTCCTGCCTTAAGCACACAGAAATTCACCCACTTCTTAAGAAACCTTGGCCTTGCAGATTAAAAGCATTTGAGACCCATTTCTAAATTCCTTTCAAACGTTTTAGAGAACACTGTTTTCTTACAGTTGATTTCTTTTATGAATACTTTTTAATTTATACTTTTGGCAAATTTCCATTAGGTTTCCGTGCATGTCACAGCACCGTATCCGCTCTCTTCAAAGTGACTTACATCTGATGTTGGTGATTACTCGATTTTAATTCTTGATTTGAGCTTTGCATGACACTATTAATCACTCCATCTTACTTTGAATGGTGGATTGGCGTCAGGGAAACTGCTTTAAAATGGTTTAGATGCTATTTATCAAACAGGACTTTTTCAGTAGTCATGGGTAAAGTCTCCTCTTCAGCGGCCGCTTTGACCCGTGGTGTTCACCAAGGCTCCATCCTTGGCCCCTTGTTGTTCTGTATGTTACCGCTGGACATATCATAAAGACAGACAAAATTCAGTACCATTGTTACGCAGATGACACACAGATGTATGCCCCACTAAAAACCAGTGAAGAAGAATTTGATCCTAATCTTTTATCCTGTTAGAAATAAAGTGCTGGTGTCCCAAAATCTTTTTTAGCTAAACAAAAACAAATCGGAAATAATTATCTTTGGTCCCCTAAAGTCCATCCCTATTTCACAGAATCATCTTGGATCCCTGTCTTCAAATATCTAACCTGTAGCCAGAAACCTGGGTGTGACATTTGACAATGATCATCTAAGGAACATCTCAAAGATCAGATCTTTTCTCTACTGACCTGATCTGAGAAGGTCATTCATGCTGTTATTTCAACTCGATTAGATTATTGTAACTTCAGCTGGTACAAAATGCAGCTGCTCTGCTTTTAACAGATACTAGAAGACAAGATCATATCAGCCCTGTTTCAGCCTCTCTTCGCTGGTTACTTTATTTTGATTACTTTTAAAGCACTTCATAAGCCAGGCCGCAGCCTCAGATCTTCAGGCAGGGCTCGTCTGGCTGTCCCTTAGTCCCTGCTCAAGACTAAAGGTGACTGGGCTTTTGCAGTCAGGGCCCCTCGGCTCTGGAACTCCCTGCCCGAGGATCAGAGTCAGTGACGTATTTTTAAATCACTTCTCAAAACTCATCTTTTCAAAAAAGCCATTTATTAATTCAAGCACATCTTTTGAATGCAAACATCTCTTATTCTGTTGTATTATTATTGTTATGCATTGATGTGGGATTCATTTAATTTTATTGCCAGATTGTTTTTTGCCTTAGCCCTGGAATGTTTAATCCTGGTTCAACCATGTGAAGCACTTAGCTTCTAAAAAAAAACGCAGTATAAATTAAATTTATTATTATTATTTCCCTGTAAAACATTTAGATGTAGCTTTAAAAGGCTGAGCCTGACACAATATGTAAATTTCTGTAGCAAAGCACAAAAAATCCAATGACATCATTTACCTACAAAGGGAACCTGTGGTTTAAGTAAAGTTTCTATTATGTGGATATAAAGGCGCCTACACATCGACATGTCGGGATCATAAAGGTGAAAAAAAGACACTTTAAGATATCATGGCATTTACAAACTTTGGCAAGCGCTTCTTTATTTACATCCAGACTGTCTCGCAAATGTCACAGCTGTTTTCCCTTTTTTCTTTTCTTTTTTTTGTAGAATAACCTTACCAATCTTAACCGATATACAGCATTATGTATACTATTACCTTCCTGTTGGTGACGCTCTGACAACAGTGTAAACAGAGAAAGAGCAGATCCCACTCTTTAGAAACACATGCAGGAAGTGGGACAAACATGTCAACAGTATGTTCAGAAACAGGAGACACAGTCGTCCCTTAACGTTTTGTCAGATAATCTGATACTGTGGTGCTCAAAGCTGAAGTCACCCAGGAGTTGCAGCTTTTAGTTTCCTCCACAAGAGGGTGCTAGTGAATCAGTGACAGTATGACAACAAAGTGAATGTCCCCTCCATAAAAAGACAAATCACTCCAGGTCAGACACATGACTAAGATACTACCAATGACTACTGTGTCTCCTCTAATGAGTGCAGTTAATATAACTTAGTAACAAAAACACAGTTCAGAAAAATCACACCTACAATTAGTTGCTGGTAGGGCTTATCATTTTTGGCAAAAAAGTTTCCAGAAGGCATTTCAACAAGTCTTTCGCTTGTCACACAGACTGCTATGCCAGCTTTTTATATTTACACACGGTCTCAGATGTATTAATTAACGTCCATGGAGCATGCATAGGTCATCGTTAAATCATCCAATCACTTCTTGTGTATGCTGGGATAATAAAAAGAGAGTCTCACCCATGACGGAGAGAGTCCCGACAAAGGAATTACAGCACAATGCAAAGAAACCCACAAAAAAAGTTTCCAGCTAGAAACTGACTGCTGAGAGAAAAAAATCCTCCATCTGACATTACAACATATACATACAGGTCAAGTGTCATTTAAAAAAATAAATGGTAAAATGAGATCGGTGCAAATTATTACCATGTGTTACAGCTACTGAGGTTGAAAGCAAGGGAAGTCTTTGTTTGTCGCAGCTTCTAGCTCCCACGATAGTTACGGGATGGACCTAAAATAAACCACCCCAACCGAAGATAGTACACAGAGGAACACTAACATTCCTGCCCTACTAATTCAAAACTCATGGAGCTCCCATTACTGCACCATGTAACTCACCCCCCCGCTGCCCTCCCCAAATCCCCCCAAAACAAACACACACAGATAGTCTGCCGTATACTATACAGTTGGCCCCAGTTGGGGAAAAAAACAAAACATATTTACATTCACATCTCTAGAAAAGAAAAAAACTAAATTTTTCTTCTTCATGTAACATAAAAGTGTAGAAATGGACAACATTCTCCAGATCTGGGCTTACGTTTTACCAGGTTATGGGTTTGTTTACAAAAATGTGAGTCCTAATTAGCTACAAAATGCAAACATTTGGGAGTAAATTCTCTCTGAAACTACATAAATTGTTCAGATTTGTTTTTCCAATTTCTGTTAAACCCAGGTGAGGATCTGTTTTGCCCATTCCTATTTCAGTGATCGTGTTCTCTTCTTGTTGCAACCTTTGGTAACACCTTCAGGACACTAACTGGCAAACTACTACACAAGGAAGAGGCAGTGAGCGACTTTGACAAAACAAATCAGTCGACAAGTCCCAACATGCACAGGCCTATTAGTAATTTTTCTATGATTAAGGGAAGAAAAAAAACAATTATTCTGATGATCAATACTTGTTTCTCTTACGTTAAAACACTATTCTTGCTATAAATAGACACAGAGCTGTTAATGTGATAATACTTTAGTTCAGTTGACTAATACTGTTGTAGGAATTAGTGTAAAAAGAAAACAGTTTACTGGCGAACGAGGCTAAAACGAGACACATGGGAGGTTTTCCAATGAATTCACTCAAACCTGAACATGAATGAAATCCAGTGCGCAGGTTTATAGAGAACATCGATTCCCTGCAACCCAGTGTGTCACACTGTAATCTTGTCTTTGCTGGTGTAATTAATCAATTTATCTTTCAGAAAAACAAATTAAAATAACAGACACAATCACACCCCCCCTACAAAAAAAAAAAAAAAAAAAAACAGTTCCAAAAACATTAAATATGAAGACTCATCCACAGCACTGGGTTACGTTTCTGTCGGACACAGAGTCAAACTCTTCGAGATGAGAATCCAAAAACACAGCTGTGTGTGTGTGTGTGTGTGTGTGTGTGAGCAGCCGGCTCAGTTTGTCTTGACGTATTTGTGACATATTTACAAAGCGGAAAGTGGAGGACGAAGAGGAAGTTTTGTTTGTTAGGCGGTGAAGCTGAGGATGCCTGCGGTCTGAGGGCGTGACCTCTGACTGGGGGGAATACATGCGGTTACTGATGATGTCCTCACAGCCCTGCCCAAATCGAACACGCAGTGTGCGTTGAGATTTGGGCTTCCGTACGAGCACGTCACTGCTGTCGTGAGGAAAAAAAACCTCCTTCTCTAATTTTCAAAACCTCTGAAATTGCATCGTCATCACTGTTTTGTTTTTTTAATTACAGACATTTTTAGAGTTATACTGTTTCACCAGACTACAGAGATGGTCTCACACACACATCCAAACACACATACGCACACACAGCTCTGTAATCAGATGCAGAGGTTCAGGAGGGCCTTGGTTTAGGTGTTGCGCACAGCTAAGGCCTGTTCCAGCTCCTGTCTCCTCTGCTGGATCTGATGAGGAAAGAGGAGAAGAAAAAAAAGGTGAATATTTCACGTGAGCATCCCGAAGGCAGAGCGTTGTTGTCAGATGAGTGTAGAAGATAATTAGATGCTGTCTCCTCACCTTGCAGTAGAAATAGCGGCTGACGGCCTCCTGGGACCAGGGCTCGTGGTAAAACGCCGCCCTCCTCTCCTCTTCCGGGTTCCCCACTACGTCTGTCATTAACTACAGACAATAAGCAGTTACAGTCATTAAAGCTGCCATTTATTTCAGAAGCATGTTTTTGTTATATTTGTTGAAATTCTCTTTAGATCCTGACAGCAATCAATAAATCAAATGCTCTGACACAAAAATGAAACATATCTGTGGCTTTTGCAGAACTACAACACGTTCGGCCAATCATTTCATTCGGCGTGACTGAAACAGACCTGCCTGTCTACCTGGTCTACACCGCCCGTGCACTCACTGCACATGAAAATGTGCCGGGAGTGGCCTGAAGGGAGGAGGTGGGATTTTTTCAGTAGGATACTTTCAAGATCTAGCTATCTCTTGCTAGTTTCTCCATCATTACCTACCCCATCTTTAATTATAGGCCTAAATAATAACTATCGTTAATATTGGTTGAAGATTATCTTCAACCGAGTCCAGTTGCCCTTGATTTTAACCTTCCTTGGATATTGTTAATATTATATGTGATGAATGTGCAGCTGCTGTGTGATATGGGTGGATACAGTTTGAGATTCTTTTTTGTTTTTTAATAAACTAAATATTGCATGTAATTTGCAGCAGGCAGTATTTCAAACCAAAATTCCCTCTTGACCAACACACTGTAGCTTCTAGGACCTAGCGTTTTTTTTAATGTATTGTTAATTGAATGAAAAGCCCGACTTTGTGTTTCTTTAATTGTTACTATAAAAGTGTCGTTGTTGGTTTCAAAAGTGGTTTATTTGGTTTTACATTCATGTATAACCCTTCTGCATTTTATTTTCTGCCCAAACATCCAGAACATAAAGCGAGTTATTTCAATGTAACTTAAAGTTATGAAAGGTAGCGACGTCTGCGCGCATATAAATTGTAGTATCAAACCTTAAGGTCTCGGCTCTGGGATTTGAGCCAGTCCTGGATGTAGCCCTTGGGATCTCTAGAGAAACTGAGCATGAAGTCCCTCTGGATCTTCAGCTGGTTGATGGACTCGATGGTCTCATGGATCTGAAAGAGGTAACAGTAACATTACTATACATCAAGGACAAAGCAGAAACCTCAACCTCATCTGAACAATCCGTGTATCCTGAAAACAATATCCATTCCATACATGAGAAAACAAAAACTAGTAATTTTGATTCTGTATCATCTCTCAGAACTCAAATATTCAAACCTCTCACACTTATATACAGTTCATCATAAAGTGACGGGTTTATAGATGTAAACTTTAACGGTAAAAAAAGGTGAAGACTGAAGCGGTGAATTTAGTGACTCGTTAAAAACGTGACGTGGTTTTAAGTGTGCAAAGCCTTCTTTTTCAAATAGCATGGTGATCTTCTCAAAAGTGTAGGAGAAAGAGTGTATCACACAGAAACAGGTATCATGCAAATGTAAAATGGCAATAAACTGACATGAACAAACATTAACGTGCTGAAAAGCAGTTCTGTGAATTCTGTTGAATTAAATAGTCATGGTAGGGACATGTCCCCACCAATGTCCAGCGACTACTGAATTGTGCCTGGCAATAATTTTCATTACATCTTTTTTTAGTATAGCCACTGTTGTCTCTCAGTGTCTAGTCAATTTATTTGTTACAACGGTAAACGGTCAGTAGCAAATTAGCGAGAGAATAACATCATCCTAAAGGCGGAACTGTAGTCTGTCAACTATGACAGCCACTGTTGTAATAATTCAGGAATAAGGTCATAACAGAATAGGTCGCTTCGAGTCGTATGTGCATGTGGCAGTATTTCCTGGCAGTGTCCAGTTATTTAGGCTTGTAAAATGTTTAGACTGCACTGCAGACTCCTTTGACCGGCAGCTTTGTGTTGCTGCGTCGCCCCTCGCTCAGAGACACCTTTGCTCTGTTTGGGACTGTCTCTCTGCTCCAGGATGCTTCCCACTGAAGCAGCTATGAGCTGCACTTTATCGGAGGTACTGAAGTTGACATTTGTGTGGATTTGTTGTGAGATTTATGCCCGATCAGAAGTGTCGGGTTTGAACCTCCTATGAAGAGTGGCACACTTGTCTCAACCTAACATAGAGACAGTTCTGTATCATATCAGCAGAGCAATTTTTTTAATTCTGACCTTTTTTATCGTAATATCAAGACTTTTATCTTGACACGTCAGAGAACAAAGATACGTGTTTGAAAGTGCAGAAAGTTTTGAACATGAGCAAAAACCTTGCTGAAACACAGGAGCTATTAAAGTCCAGGGTTTTATAAATTAAGTTCAGTTCAGTTCGTTAATTGTCATTCAACCATGTAAACATGAAGGAACTAAATTCATGTTTTACACGGTTGAATGACCACCATAAAACATGAACTTCGTTCCTTAAAATTAATTAATTTATCAATGAAGTGAAGTTTCCACATTTAAAGTTACTTCCCCAAACAAAAGACACAAAGAGGAGGGAACACTAAATCATGCCTGCGCATGTGCTGACTCAGCAGGGATGTTATTACATGAGAAAAGTTGATCTACAGAAGAAACATATCTCAAAGCAAAAATTGAGAGAGAGCCTTACTGCGTTATATTCTGTTATAGTTTTACATGCCACCTGAATTTTGTGTTACCCTTTTCATAAAGAAAGACATTTACACCATAAGTTGGTGCAGAAAATTTCACCAGAATGCAGGAAATTTTCTGTGGGTGGACCCCCAGTCCGCTTAATATGTGGTCTCCAATGTTGATGAAACCTACGCCCAGCGATACTTGTTTTAAGTGTATGTTTTTGGTCCCACCCATCCTTCCTGCTCACCCACAGCCACCTGCTCTTGACAAAAATGTCAGTTTAAAAAGTAAAATGTGAATAAATGAGTCCCACGTTTAACAGTGGGGCGTGAAATCCACTGCAAGCAAACTACTCCTGTTAAAAAATACATGCAGTAAAACTGGCTGTTTCCATGAGGCAGCTCACGTATCACCTCAGTGTGATGAACAGCATCAAAGGTAAAGCAGAATCAATCCAGAATTTGTATTCTGTGACGCTGGAGGTCTCACCTTGTTGTCGAGCGAGGCGATTTCCTGCTGGTTGGCGGTGGAGAGGAGGAAGCTGCTCATCTGGCTCTTCAGGGGATCTTCCACCTCCACGTCAATGTCGTAGCAGGCCGTCTTCTTCTGGTCGTTGGGATCCACGCTGACAGGGAGCAAAACGTTTATTTATGCACAAGTGAGAAAATCATCACAGAACCTCAAGAAATCATCTGCAGGATTACTGAATCCATGAAATACTTCTGTTCCTTAATTAGATGTTCTTTTCGTTTTTATTTTCTTTGTGTAGTGAATAATCCGTCGGTCTGTGTTACAACTCTACAAAAAGTATTGACTGTACAGTCAACTGCTGCCACCTATTGTTTATGAGGTCAGTGGCCACCACTGGCGGTGCAGTAGTAAGTTTATTGATTTGATTAAATTTTATTTCTTATTTAAAATGATTTTATTTACTTAGTGATAAAGTTATTTAAAAATGAAAGAAACCACTACTTTAAAACTATTTAGAAAAAGCTTGAAGAGGAAACAAAGAAAGGTTTTATAGCTATTTTCATAAAATGTCTTTTTAGATTTTTTACAGGTGCGGGGAAAAACGGTCTCCCCCATTCATAATAAAAATACATTGTGGCACAAAAACGGCATAAGGAAACCATGTGCAAAACATAAAATAGAAACTCTTCTTCCTATTTTTATCATCATTTTAATTACAAGGACTGCCTGGTAAATAAGGCAAGGCAAGTTTATTTGTATTGCACATTTCAACATCAAGGCAATTCAAAATGCTTTACATAAAACATAAAAGCAACAAAGGGAAATTGAAAACAACACACTAAAGCTCTATGTACAGTAAAACATGAAGCTACCTGATAACATGGTTGATGACGATGGGATCGGGGGGTAGGAGGAGGTTGGTGAGGCGCTGAGGAATCTCAGAGAACTTCAGCCGAGGGCAGTCAAATATCTGTAGAGGAGGGGAGACATAACGTTTAAAAGTTTAAAGCTTTAAACATTTTACTTCCTTTAAATGTTCAAATATATGTATATTTAAAAAATGTATGGTGGTTCATTTTTCTTAAGTTTGACTGAAATGGAAGCAGCTCACGTTGTCCGAGTGATATATTATCCTGATATTTGTGCAACAGCAGTGTGATTTATGGCATATAGAGAGTCCCGAACCTGTTGGAAGTACTTGTCACAGTTGATGTACTCCTTGTCATGGGAGTCCTGCAGCTTGTTGGTCTTGACGTACTGCCAGAGGGCCTGGATGATGCAGGAGCGGGTCTGAGTGTGAATGCCAAGCAGGCGAGCCAGGCGAGGGTCCAGCTTAAACTGGGGAGGCTGTGGAGATGATATAACCGCAGCACAAACATTTTTTTTTTTTTTACAAACGCCCACCTCAGAGCTTTTACATCATCACATCTGACATCTTTATCTTCAGTCTTAAATGCACTCTGATGTTTCTGTGGACTGGCGGTTATCAGTGATGTCAGGCCTGCAGGTCGTCGCTACAGCAGCTGATTTCATGGCGTGGATTAGTCACAGAGTTGTAACAGAGGAGAGTCTATTTCTGGACAGAGTTGTGAGCTGTTGTGAGATTGTGTGGCCCCCCCACCTGGTAATCCAGCATCAGCAGCAGAGTGCAGCGCACGCTCACGTCTCCCGGCCTCTTCACCTGGAAGCCGTCCGTCTCCTGGGTGGTGGGCGTGCGGTGCCACTGAAAGTGCAAACCACCAAAAGCTGACTACACACCCCAAACTGAGCCGGTGTATTCAGAGTGAACAGTGAGAAACACTATATTAATCATAATCACTAATTAATTCCTGCTTTAAAGGCTCTGACAACCTTCTTCTTAATATGTGCGGTGGGATCTAACATGAACACACAGGTATAACAGTTTTGGTTATTTTACATGAGAGGTTACTTTTTTGTTTTTTTCTCTGGCTTTCTTGCAAACCACACCCACACAGTCCTGACGAAGCAGATTACATTTCTTTAGCTAGTGGCGTGGATCATAATTACTTTGTCGTTCCCTGACTTCCCCTCTATCGCCACTAGAGGTTCACGTTTGTGGTTTTGAGTGGATTATCTCAACAGCTATTGAAGTGATTGCTGTGAAATTTGGTACAGACATTCATGTATAAGTCAGGATTCATTGTTATAACTTTGGCGATCTCTTTGCATTTCCTCTAGCAATCCAATATTTTCAATTCAATATTTTGCTTTGTGTGCAAAAACGGATTACATTTCTTCAGCTGTACATTGTGTTTAGCTGAAATTAGCATACTCTAGCATGCTAACACGGTAAATATTATACCTGTTAAACAGCAGCATTTTAGCATTGTCATTGTGAGCATGTTAGCGTGCTGGTGTTTGCCTTGCTGATAATAATGAACACATAAATATACTGTATATATAAGAGGATGTTTCTTCCTGGACTTTACTGTGATTGTTACAAAATATTTAATGTTATAGAGATTTGAAACCTATTTTTCAGAGGTTTTCAGACAATTTGAAGCTGGAGATTTGGCACACTTAACAAATGCGCAAAAAAAAGAGCAAACAAAGAAATCACTTGAGTGCAGCTGTATCTAGCAGCCTTGATCTTGGCCCAGAGTGCCAAGTTTGGGTTTTTGGTGAGAGGGAACATTTCTACTCAGTGGCCATGCTCCGTGTGCTGAGAAACCAAGATAGCAAAAGGTTAACCGTGTGGCTGTGTAGCTGCATGTTATCACACTATCAGTAGAGACTTGACTTGAAATAACAGAAAAGCTAAATATCAGCCCGGCCAAATACAACTATTTCCATAAGATTGTGTGTTTTAGTCTTTGTATTTACAGATATCAGAGCCTCCTCTGTATTTAACCACAGATGAAATGCTATTTCCATTTCCATTTTATCTTAACTGACACTGAACAGAAAAAGCACTTTAAACAGCGTCTTCAGTACAGTTGATTGCAGTGACTTGGCATGCAATACAGAGTAATGTTTCCCTCTACCCAATGTCTGATTCAGAACAGATACTGATTGTACCTCAAGGTAGAGAAAAAAATTCTTTTGATGGAAAATCATTCAAAGCGAGGCACCTGAGTGCCTTGCTAAAACACCCTCTTTAAAAGGAGGAACCTTGAGAAGTCATAATTTTCACTCTGAAACACTTAAAGTGTTTTTTAAAATACATTTTTCTGAAGATACGACATGAAGGGCAGCTAAAGATTGTTTTTTAATATGTAAGCACTTGTTTTTGCTCCAGCTCTCACGCCTGCATTTTAAAACAACCTTATAATATTAAAAATAAACAACCCTCTCCTTTATGTTGTAATACAAAATCAATTTATTAAAAAGGAGAGTGGGCAGTCCAGTCTCTCCATCTGTTTTATTTTCTATTCATCCAATGGGGATGTACAAAGGAGCAGGTTAGTTGGGGTGACTGTAGCTCAAGACACCACAAAATAGCAATTTTCAGTGAAAGTCTTACCTCTGCATAATGAAGAGGCCGTCACTGACCCTGACTGCAAGGCCGAACAGTCACTGATTGGTACAGCATACAAAAGCTATTTATTACTAATGGATGTGAGCTCAAATTAAAGCACTCATTTTTGAAGTGACAAGTTGTTTCCAGTATTTATACTATGCTAAGCTAGCTTCACATTTAACCGACAGACGTGAGAGTGACATTGATCTTTTCATTATGTCTTGGCAGGACAGTGGACAGGACACTTTTTGCTGTTTTGTGCTCCAACTCTTTGGATTTGAAATTAAACAATGATTATCGGGGTAAAGTGCTGAGCTTCAGCTTTAATGGACATTTTTCACAGCAGACTTGTCATGGAAAGAACTGCACAGGTGATGCTAATTTCATTAACACCTGTTATCCACCCACACTGCTTTTCTTAAAGCGGCTATAAAGGATATTATATGTAAGAATGTATCAAATGACAAACAGTGGGTCAATGTGAAAGGGGTCTATCACCTGAATCTGCAGCTTCCCTCGGCTTTAGGGACCTTTATTCCAAGTTTCAGATTTTTGTTTAAATGTCTGGCTCACAAATGTCAGACAGACACCGTTAGTGACTAGCTGGTGAACATAATGGAGCATTTAGCAGCTAAAGAGGCAGATATTTCCCTCAGGGGTTGATAGAGACCAGAAACAGAAGCTAAAAGAGGGTTAATATGGACTGGCTGTGGTCAGACAGGGCAGATGTTTTCACTTCTGGTCACAAATTCACATGTGAAATCATGAGGCTCCAGCCAGTTTGAGAGACGGGTAGGATTGACCTTTCATTCAGCAATTATTGTTTTTTTTTATGTCCTTGTTTTATAACCGGAAAGAGAAATTATACAAGCAGCAAGTAAAGCGATGCCTGGCTCCGGTGAGTGCAAGGACAGTGAAGGAGAGAAACAGTGTTTGTTGAGAAGCTTTATAATTTAAAATTCTATAGATTGCATTTGCAGTTTATGCCTTTAACACTACCAACGCTAGGGTCATTCCCTCCTGCCACACGATGTGAGTAAATTTCATCTCTCCGCTGTCAATCCATTTGCTGACTATAGCTACCTTCCTCCATGAAGACGGAAGACGCAAAACAAACCATTTAGAATCACCTTTCAAGACTACAAGGTTGTGTTTTAATTAGTCAAAAGACATATTATTGGTTGAGTATTCCTTTAAAGGTCGATCTCAGCGTTTTACCCTCATATTCATGGTTTCATTTCAAATCCACTGAAAAAGTGTGTTACTGTCCAAGTACCTCCATACTTACAGACTGTACTGTATTACGTACCTAGCATCTTAGCATGTTTGTTATTTGCCACTAAAAGTGTAAAATTAAATTCATGGGTTTACACTGACATTTGAAGGTGTTGTTTATCCATGTGCTTCCTGACATTCATGTCAGGTAGTACTAAACACTAAAAAGTCTGTAAGATCAGATAATGGTTTGATCAGATGGTGAGTGTGTTTTTAAAGTTCTTAAATCAGCCTGTTCCTCTGTGCACAGTGTGCAGCAGCCATGTTTGAACCGACCTCAACCAGGTGGTTGTCAGGACCGTAGAGGTCTTTGTCCAGCTCGATCACCAGGCTCTTAAAAAACGAAGAGAACTTCTTCTTCTGCTTCCCTGGCTGTGAAACAGACAGAGAGAGAGAGAGGTGGTCAGTTAAAGTCTAAAATGAGTCACGTACGCACATTTAACATGCAAATGCAAACACATGTCGCCATATCTTTGCTTATAGCAGCGTTACTCATCAAAAACCCACAAGAGACAAAGTGAGATCAGAAAGACAGTGAAACATTCTCATGGTCCACTTCCTTTGAGCTCAACCAGAAATATTTGTGGTTTGTGAAACCTAAAAGCTTCTTACCGCTGTGAAATGACGGCCTTGCCACGGACTGCTGAGAACATTAGAGCTTTTTGCAAGGAAAGCTTGCAGCGCAAAACTAATGTAAGATCATTCTCCTTTTTATGCTGCATTTACAGTCTCCCTCTAAACAACTCTTCACAACATCAGTCAATCATTTTGAGTTCTGAGCCAGCAGATACTTTTCTGGCACTGCTGGCCAAAAATGACCCAGAGCTGCACAAGATCTCAGTTTTCTTTTCTTTTTTTTTTAAGAAGACAAGCAACTATTTTACTCACAATGAATTCATCCGGCAGAGATGACATAACACTACACCCTGCAGGGGCTCAGCGCCACACAAACTGGGCTTTTTACAAGTTATTTCACTTTTAAAGTGACTACAGCATGCAAGTCAGAGTGGGTGCACTGTGTATTTTTGATGAACAAAACTCACGTCATCCAGCAACTTCCCCTCTACTCGCAGTTCCCATGATGCAATGCTGCCATCTGAGTCATCAGCATCGGGTCTGGCAGGGTTGAAGGTGTTGGATATGTAAAGCCTCAGTTTACGCTTTTGCTGCTGACACAAGGGCACATTAAAATAGCACAGTTTAAACGGACACGTCCCAAAATCTTAAACTGCAATCCTGCAGATGCTCTGTCCGAACTGATCAGCTTAATATAACAGCAGAATTTAAACAATGCTTCAGTGTAATAAGAATCAAGGAGTCTTCTGTCTTGAAAAGGGACTTGTTATGTGTTTTAAGATGAAACAAAACTAAAAAAGGTGAGAAATAATTACTTCAAACAACATTTTTGTCCTTCCAGAAATGAATAATCGGCATTTTAGAGAGACATCAGGGCACACCGGCTGCTAACTAGTCACGTTTTCTTGTCCTTACCTTCATGGGTCTCTTCAGTGCTTCCTGGATGTCCACACGTTTGCGCATGATGGTCTGGTCCAGTTTGCGCTCAAACGCCAGCAGATCCATGTAGGCCTGAGACTCGGGGACCAGCTCACGGATCTGCTCAGAAGGGAGACAATCCAACATCAAAATCTTTAGATTACATCAACTGCAACATTTCACCCACACAAGATCAAGAAGTCAGATTTCCTTCACTCTCTGCTCTCTGAATATCATTAAAGGCTCAAGCAGATTAGCAACATACAGTAACATACAGTTTCCTTTCAAGGTATGGTATAATACATAGAAAAAGAGGAAAGGAATAGTTCAAATTGTTGTGAAAAATACTTATTCACTTATTTCTTGCCGAGAGTTAGATGAGAAGAAGACTCTCATATCTGTAAACTACAGCCAGCAGCTGGTTAGCTTAGTTTGGCATAAAGACTGGAAACGGGGAAACAGATAGCCTGACTCTGTTCATAGGTAACAAAATCCAACTAACAGCACCTCTAAAGCTCACTAATTAATTAACATTTTAATTAAGGGGATTATGTGCCCGACTATTTCTTTGTCCTGGAGTTTGGACAGAGCCAGTCTAGCTGTTTCAACAAGTTCCCAGTCTTAATGCCAAGCTAAGATAACCAGCTGCTAGCAGTAGCTCCATATTGATCACATGTGATTGTGGTATTGATATTCTCATCTAGCTAAGAAAGCAAATAAGCAAATTTCCCCAAATGTCAAACTATTCTTTTAATTTCTCCTTTAAGAACCTTTAAGTTTGAAAAAAAAAAAAACTCACACTTGTCCCTGGTCTTCATTGACACTGAGTGAAATAATCAAACCCAAGACAAGTATTTCTATGGCTGCACCTTTCAAATCAAATGGAAATGTTCTCAGCCTCGTCTTGTGCATCATTTTACACCCCATATTTCCCCAAACTTCAGCCTGACATATTTGCAAGTTTTTAGAAAGTTTGGGATCTCTACTATAATTTGAAATAAAGTTTGATAAAGTTTGGCTGCACAGCATGAGTTTGTGCTGACTGAACCACCAGTTCTACTCCAGACAGGGACTTATGTTTGCATGCCGTTCCCTATCTCTCACCCCAAAAATATATATAAAAAATGGAGGGGTTTAATAATTAACTCTTGGCTCCTTCTGGAACTAAACATTTCAAGTTTGAGGAGACTAAAGACACTTAATACCTTGTCATCCCATAAACAAATAAAAAAGGAGCAAAAACCAGTAATAGATAATGTTTGCTTTATATGAGACTTAAGGTTTCTTCAAAAGCTTTTTCATTCTTTAACTTGTAGGAAGCTGACATGAATAGAAAAGTCCCTTTGCTGCTGCCCAGTCAACCACTAATACGGTGGTCCACACGATCCTGGGGACCCTTTGGGGATCAAAATGAGATGCAGAGTGTGCAGCCAACCAGCCAGGATTCAGACATTACCATACCGATGAAAGTCCTCAGAGCATCAGGGGCTGCTGCTTACTTACCAAACTGTGCACACACAGTCCTACAGTTCGCTCCTTCTCCTCCCTCCCTCGTCTTTCCCCTTTCATTTTTCTTTCTAAATGGCTGCCTTCATTGTTCCCTCTCATTCCTTCTCTATCTCCATCTCACTGCCTTTCTGATGTGGCAAGCAGACGGAGGAGTGTGGCAGACATTCCCTGTCCCTGACTCATTATTGTGGAGTGGCGCCCCAGCCATGCCTACTGCTATCTCTGCGTCTGGGTTATGTTAGGGGATAAGACCTGAGCTAAGACGCTCACAGTCTCCAGACCTCAATAGTCTCAGTGTAAAAGCCTTCTGTGTGCTGGCCAGGACTTGGCGAGGTGATGGCGTGGCACAGGGCCGAAAACTAAGACCGCGGGATGAAAATCACAACCTCAGTCGGCACAGACTCACCTGTGGAAACGCGGTGATTCAGCCGCCTCTTTTCGGTTCCACTTGTGGTTTTTCCCGCTGGCTATTCCAATTTAAATCAATGTGCCACCATCCAAATAACAGAATGAACCCCTGAAGAAAAACCCCTAAAACCACCTGATCGCTCCCCCTCATCCTCTCTATTCTCATTTGGAAATTACACATAATCATATGGCCCTCTGCGCCTTCCAAAGAACCCCTGACATCAAACAACGACCAGGGGTTTTCTGTTCTGCACACAAAAGATAATAACACACACAGAAAAAAAACACAGCAACAAAGGTAAAAATATGCAGCCTCACCCTTTGCGGAAGAATCTTGTCTGCCATTTTCCTTCTCTTAGCACTAGAGAGAGGGAGAGAAAGACAGAGAGAAAGAGGAAAAAGAGAGCATGTTACTATGGTGACTGATAGCGTAGCACCCAGGCCATCTGCTAAAATGCTGGGCCATATCCAGCACCCCAGCATCCCAGCTGTGTGTGCGTGAGTGTGTGTGCGCTCTTGTGTTTGTGTGAAATGCAGCCGTCCACCTGGAGAGTGAGAGCCTCCCAACAGCCAAAAAAGCGTCACATCACACATCTCTTGCCTGACATGTATTCGCTGCACACACACACACACACACACACACACACACACACACACACACACACACACACACACACACACACACACACACACACACACACTCTGCACTCTGGGGTCGTTGCAGCAGCTCTCGGGTGGTGACATGATGTGTGTTCAAGAGCTCTTGGGAATGCAGAGTCTTCGAGATTAGGAGAATGTATATATGTGTGTGTGTGGATATTTTCATTCATGAATTCCTGGCATTTCCTGCTTTGAGAGAACAACATTTGTTTGCCAATACCATGAATTTTTTTTTATCTTATACTTACCAAGGAGAGACCAAGAACAATAAGACAATCTGTGCCAGGTTGGTGCCTTTGTCAGAACTTACTCACTAGCTGACACTGATTAAAAAAACAACACTACAGCTTCCTTCTCTATTCCTTAATTATTCAGTCTGTGGACACACTACACTGCAAAAAGAGCAATTCAAAAACAGTCAGCATAACTTATTTTAGGATCATATCTTGCCTTGTGCGCGTTACATCCTCTCTGGAAAGCTCCGAGATGTGTAAAAAAAACAAAGGTGTTATTGTCTTATTTCAAAGATTTCAGATTCTTCTCTATGGTCCTGTTTTAGGTTACACTCTTCAATTTAGCTAAATTAAAAAACAAAGTACTTTGTTTGGAATATGTCAAATGTCACTGCTTTTATCAAGTTTGTTTGCTGAGATTTATATGAGAAGATTGATACCACTATCCCATCTGTCCGCTATATAAAAGGCAACAGCCAGCAGGATGTTAGATAAGCTTAGCATAAGGACCAGAAACAGTGGGAAACAGCTAGCCTCGCTGTGTCTGAAAGTAACAAAATACACCTTCCATCATTGCTAAAGCTCATTAATTAACACCTAATATCTTCTTTGTTTAGCTACAAACACTGAAGTGTTAAAATGTAGTGGTTTTACAGGGGGTTGGTTAGCGCTCCCAAGCCAAAAAATAGTCTGGCACATACAGTAACACCCTGTAAAACCATAACTTGTAATTTTTACACTTTTTGAACAGATTTAACATACAATATATAACTTGATAAGAAGTTAACTTTAGACTGCCGAAAGGAGGATTTTGTTATCTTCCAACAGAGCCCAGCTAGCTGTTTCCCCGTGTTTCCAGTCTTTGTGCTATGCTAGACTAACTGGCCACATATTTTAACATCCAGGCACGATAGTGTATTTGATCTTCTCGTGTGACTCTTTGTGACAAAGTGAATAAGCACCTTTCCCAAAAACGTTTCCTTTAAAGGGTAGCTAGTCTTTCTATGCTAGTTTAAAATCTTACCTGACTTTTTGTTTGATATGGAGGACTGAGTCTGACATAAAGGGAAATAAATATAGAAATGAATAAATGCTGAATAAATAAGCATCCGATTAAATGCACAAAAAAACACGGTAAATAAATGTAGGCAGTAATTAAATTATACAATGAAACATAAATGTATATATCTCTTTTAATTAGCTTCTTTATTTACTTACCTTTGTAATAATTACCTTATTTATTTATTGTCCATTATAATCTTCAACTTTATTTATTAAGTACTTCTTTTTTATTTATTTATTTATGTGTGTTTTAATATTTTTGTCTGTATTATTCTTTCTTTGCATTTCTACCCTGTTTATTTCCACAATGGTTATATATTTCTGCCTGCTCTTTTTACATTTCTCTATGCATTTCTGCCTTATTATGCAAATGAGGAGGGGCTGTGTCTCAAGGGGTCAACTTCTCCCCTATTGGTGGACCAGTCAGATGACAGAGGTCGACTCTAAGTGCACACATCAACAAGCTTTCTTACATAGTCAGATGGCTTCCTTCAGTGAACTGAGGTGTTTAGCTACTCTATTTGAAGACAATACTACCAGCCATGTCTTCCTTCTTTTTTTGTTTGGATGCTCTGACACAGAACTGCGGGAAAGTGAGCTGTGTGGTTGTTTGTGAGAACCACATGGTCAGCTAGCCGCAGCTAATCTGTAGTGCACTCGTATTTGAGCATTTACGGTAAATGTTCTGACACTTTTCAGCTCCTTGCTTTCCTACTATCAGCTGCTGTTTCAACAAAGACGGCATTCAGGGTTAAATTCAACCGCGGTGTTGTGTCGGGAGATGCAGTGACTTAACCAGCGGTGAGTAAGAAATACTATGAATAATACATGTAATTTGTTAAGCTATAAGGAGAGGAAAAGTCCTTGCCGCTAGGCTAATTATAGTAGTGTAGTGTTAAATGCCATATAGGCTAACGTTAAAGCTCAAGCTAGTAATGATGACTAACAAATCAACTAATCTTGACAGTTATTATGCTTATTAAGCTGAATTTATGCTTCTGTTAAATGTGATTGCAATTAAGCCATGTTTTATGTGTGTTAATGGAGTCAATTTAAAGTTAACTTTACTGCACTTAATTAAACATTAAAATGAATGTAGGCTTGTTACTGTTCTTCTTCTTTATCTTCCACAGAAGACAGAGGAGGCAGCATGTGGTGAACATAAGCATATTCATCAGAGGACAAGAAGAAAGGAAGAAGAAGGAGGAGAAGGAGAGAAAATACCCCCCCCCCCAAAAAAAAAACAAAAAAACAATTCCTTTTATATTTCCCCTTACATGCCTTGTTGTTTATGTTTATGTGTAGGTACAGTGGAAGAATGGGAGAACAGCACATATCTCGTTACTGTGTGACTGTAGAGCATGGGAGAACAGGGGGTACTTTTAATACAGCCCACACCCCTAATATTACTGTGTAACTACAGGATAACAAGTGGAGAACATTCAAGATTATGAGAACATTTAAGATTAAGAGAACTGTCTGCATAGTTTATTCATCTTGTGCAATTTGTAAAGAATGAAAATAAATAGGCCTACTAGGCTTCTCTCTACTTTGACATTTAAAATTAGCTGTGTTTGATCCACCTTCATACACGTGAACTTACTACATTACTGTATAACTTGAGAAAGGTAAATTGTTTTCTGCTCCAGCCTGCCTACATGAAAAAACTTTTTACGGTCACTATTGTGGATTAAATGGGCACAGCTGCTGCAGTGCAGGATGAACGAAGAATAGATCAGTTTCTCAACTTATTATTCTAAATCATGCAATGAAGTAGAAGAAATACATAATAAATCCTGGGACAAAATCCTCACAATTGACCCTTCCCTAAGCCACGCCCCCCTTAGTTACTGTTGAAAAAGCGATCTCAGAAAGAAGAGAGTTTTGCAATTGCATTGTGCATTTGAAGTTTGTATTCAGGCTGTCAAACAGATGTGAAAAAATAAAGACAGAAGCCAAAGCCTACCGATCACAGAGTAAAAGTGAACCACCAATTACAGTATTATTGACTATTGAGAAAGAAGACAACGATATTAAGGATCAACACTTCTCCTGTACAGCTCGGTAAGTCTCTGTTCACTATTACAATCATTACAAAGCAGAACAGTTGGGTTATATAACGTTAAATTCAGTAGTAAGTTAGCTAGCGTTAGCTAACTAACATTACATTAGAAACAATAGACAGCCAATATTTTTGTGGATTTGTTTTAGGTTTTGGAAAGTGAATAATTCATACTTCTCCCTTCAACCTCTCTGGGTAGTGACTGTAACTATTAAAAGTGTCCCAGGAACTGTGTCTGACCATATCTTACAGCAAAAAAAGCAAGAAAACGACGGAGTCAATGGAGCGCAGCCATGAAAGTGTCGGATCTCAGTTCGAGCGAGGACTACACTGCGCTGTGATTGGCCAGCTGCGTATTCAGATGATGTCATTGTTTATTGTCAACTGTTCAGTTCTGTTTTCCTGCACTGTAACCAGTAGGTACCTAGAATTTTAAGTTTAATACTTGCATATTGCAAACCAAAAGGAGAGAACATAATCAAACAGTTGTTGCCACTGCTCTTTATTCTGGATTAACTGTATCTGGAAAAAAAAAAATTGACCACTGAATCATATGATTGTGAGTCAGTTTAGTTTTCATTAATGCTAAAGTAGTTGCCTTTACATCCAAAGGTGTCTTTGAGGGCGAACTGATAAATGGTAACCAATCTGTTAATGATCACTGTGGAATGTTGTGGAACTCCAGGATGTAGCTGTCCACACATACTGTACAGTATGTAGCCTAATGAACAATCCTTGTGTTACAGCTGACTTGGGCAGTGAAATGTTTAACTTTTTAATTCATGTGGTCCTAGTTTTCCACAACTCAAATCAGAATTTAAGGAGAAATGTGTTTTATAGCACCTCAAGAAGACTTCCTGTCAGAAAGGAAGGCATTTCAATGTACAACTGCAGTACTTCAATCTAAGTAAAGTAATTTCTCTAACATTTTAGTGTTATTTCACTTTTAATAGGCACATGTAAAAAATTTTATACTTCCTGTGTATATAATCCAATTAATCTTATTTTCATACTGTGTATATGTTGTGTTAACACCTTATTTTGAAAACCGGACGTGACGTGTGTGTCTTAATAATTTCACAGAGTCCGACGTAATTTGATAAATTATGTTGTATGTGGTGCAGTGGTTAGCACTATCGCCTCACAGCAAGAAGGTTATGGGTTCGAACCCCGGTTGCCCCGGCCTTTCTGTGTGGAGTTTGCATGTTCTCCCCGTGTCGCGTGGGTTCTCTCCGGGTGCTCCGGCTTCCTCCAACCATCCAAAGACATGCAGACATGTCTCTAAATTGTCCTTAGGTACATACGAAAAGAAAGGAAGACATGGCTGATAGAATTGTCCTCAGATAGAGTTGCTAATCACTTCAATTAAAATACTAAAGGAAGACATCTCTTGTGACTGTGTGGGGAGAAAGAATTGTTGATCTGCCTGATCCACCAATAGGCGATAAGATGACCCTGTGACACACAGCCCCTCCTCATTTGCATAATGAGGCAGAAATGCAAGAGAAATGTAAAAAGGACAGGCAGAAATATATAACCATTGTGGAAATAAACAGGGTATAAATGCAAAGGAAGAATAAAACATAAAAAACACATACAAAAATAAATACATAAAACAAAAGTAATTAATAAAGTTTAAGATTATAACGGACAACAAATAAATAAGGTAATTATTACAGGTAAATAAATAAGGAAGCTAATTAAAAGAGATATATACATTTATGTCTCATTGTATAATTTAATTACTGCCTACATTTATTTATTTACTGTATTTTTTGTGCATTTTATCAGATGATTATTTATTTATTGAGCATTTATTTATTTCTATATTTATTTCCCTTTATGTCAGAATCAGTCCTCCACAGTTTGATACCAGGTGTGGACGATATGGATAAAACCTTTAGGCCATTTTATATCGTGATATCTATATATATTATGATTAAAGTTTAAATGGTCTTTACATTTTATGGAAAGAGAAAGATTTCTGGTCTGAATTTTTGTTTTTGACTAATCAAGGTGCATGTTGGTTAATAACATTGCCAGCAATGACCTAGAGCTATTACAGAGATAGATAACATGGTATAAACAACTTTACATTTCTATTGAAAGGGATTTTTTTGCAGTGTAGAGAAATGTCCTATCACAGAGCACTGCATTGGTCTGTGAAGCAGTATGTTACATCAGCATGCCAAATACTGAAACAAGCCTGCTGCAAGGAGAATTGAAAGATCCGGGGGTGCATTGCAAAGGAAAACACAAACCTGCATCACAACAATCCGCCATTTTAAACTGTTTTTAAGAGGGTTTTTAGATTGAATTCTTCTCCATTTTTCTGTTCTATCTGGAAAAAAAAACTGTTCCCATCATGCCATGCTCCAGTCCAAAGCATGCACCACTACATTTTAGGGGTCAACTTCTAGGCCCGTACGTATGGTTGGCCAAAACAACTCATTCAGGGAGTGCTGGGCTCAGGTGAAAGGCTAAATAGGCCAGAGTCATCAAACGTAAGAAAACGGACATGCAGCAGAATAAACTCCTACTTTGATCCGAGCGTGGGATCTGATTGGGGCTCTCTCATGTCCATCTGCCTCGCCGGCATCTCATTGGCTCCGGGGAATCCGACTGGCTTCCTAAGAATTGGTGAGGATTCGAAGGTTGTCCGATTAGAGTTGTGGCGAGACACACACTCAGTGGCAGCAAGTACGTTGTCAGAGGGGAAACACCTGGTGGTTCTGGCTGTTTGTATGTGTGTTAAGTTCAAGGGTCTGTTAGTAGGCGCAAACTCTAAAACTCAGACAAGGGCAGGCACAGGGATGGGCGTGTAACTGTGTCCATGCATGCACAAAGTGCAGCAGAGGAGGACCCGGGAGTCGTCCTGCTCATCTGAGGGACACGCTCATTCAACAAAGTTTCTCCGTGAACCAAAACAATCATGCTTCACACACACAGACAGACAATACACCGACAACGGACACGCTGTGAACTTGTGTAAAAGGGAAAGGAGAAAACACGCAGTGTGCCAGTTTAGCTCTTTTGTTCGGCTCTGAATTGCAAATATGAACGTTCCATTGATGAAGTAATGTCCAGTGGGCTCTCAGGTGCAGATGAAGACAACATGCTTGCTATTTTTCACTTTTTCGCTTATTTCCCCAAACCAAATCTTTCTAAGCCTTATAAAGCCAAAAAAACAGCTCCTCACCAGATAATTCTGCTCCGGTCCAGCACTTTAAACCTGTTTCTTTATCACATGAAGCTACCAATGTTCCTAAGCAACCCTACGGTACAAAGGCCAAAATTAACAGCAAAAACCAAGGATCAGAGGTTCATATAAAAGATCAGGGCTTTATAAATAATGCTCCCCTCATGGGAAATAAAAGATGCATGTTTTAGGCCATGTTCAAGGTGACGGCCAACACAGAAAATCTTTGTTAAGAATGTTGTTTGATTACACACTGTCAGAACAGCTTCTTTATATTACATTACAACAGAGCTGCAATGATTAACCAATTAGTTGTTAACTATTAAATTAATCACCAACTATCGTCAAAAAAGATTCCAGTTTCTTACATATGAATTTTTTCTGGTTTCTTTACTCCTCTATGATAGTAAACTGAATATCTTTAGGTTGTGGACAAAACAAGACATTTGAGGACGTCATTTTCACCATTTTATAGACCAAACAACTAATTGATTGATTGATTGAGAAAATAGGATAATAGATTAATCCACAATTAAAATAATCATTAGTTGCAGCCCTACATTACAATCTGCTGTGTGTTTGTTGTTCCCAGATTAAAAAATGTGAAATCACAGAACAGTTTTGCAGAGAGTGTTAGTGGGAAAGCCCCAAGTAATTTCATGTAACTTAAGAAGTGTTTTACCCTCAGCCTTTGTGATGCAACGGCACACCGTGATGAAACACATAGGATAGGAACTACAATAATAAGTCATTGCTTGGTATAAAAACAATCCAAAATTTAGGTTGTATAAAAATGCAATGAGAAAAGCCAGTCAGGGCACAAGAAAACTTTTTTTCCACATGGCATCATCTTTGCCAGTGAGTATGATAATAAGCATCTGAAATGTTATACTCAGGATGATGCTGAAATATGTTGACAGATTTTTGTCACAGAAACTTTTAACGCACACATAAGATAAATCCAACCAGACAACGTTGCTTTAATATGCTTTTTACGAACCATTGTTTCCAGTACTCCCTGCTACAAGACACACTTACCACAGAGGTAAAAGCCTTTTATCTTATTGTGTTTTGGGGTGATAAAAATGTTTTCTGTCTCCTAAAAATTACTTTTATATACAACTAATTTCCAATAGCAAATACATTTTCTATTAACATAATGAGAAACCGTTGGTAATAAATGTATTTTCCTGGTGGGGTAACCACATGTGGGACCTTGGTCTCTAGTGTCAAAGTCCTGTGCCCACCACCCACACTGACCATCTGCCTACGAATTATCTGAGGTATATAAACGTTGCGCTAACTTCCACACACAAAATGTTTCCGCACAAAACATATAAAGTAGTAGTATATAAACACATTTTCTAGTACACAGAGTTTTCCTAACACTATGCAAAGCAAACCCGAATTAAATCCTATTTTAGTAGCAGCTTTGCGTAGAACGCCATTTGTTCTGCAGAGCGAGTGGGACCATAAGGTCTCAATGACACTGCAAACACAGGTGGCACGCCCTCGGCCGGCAGCCGTGTGGGGTCTGAGCTGGATGGAGTAGAGCGGGAGCATCAACTTGTTTGCCAGAGGACACACACTCTCGCAAAGCAGCAGCGAGCCAGAGAGACACCTGGTCAGGTCACCCTGGACCATCGATCAGACCCTCCACAGCCAGCCGGGCCGCTCTGGGGGTTGTGGCCCCGACGCCGGACAACACTTCCACTGACCTGTTCCACAAGCCTGCTTAATTGTAAGTGGATCAATCGTGCTGCAGATACTGAGAGAATGAAACCGAGAGAGATAGCGGTCCACTGAGTGCGCATATCGATCTCCTTTCTAATGACCATACCTGCTGCACACTTGTCTCCTAATAGACATCTGGCCGGGATACTGATGTTCAGATCTTTTGTACATGGTAGTCCAATAGCAGACATCAGATAGTATAACAATAAGCCAATGCACAAAAGTACTAGAGCCTGAACACCTGCAGACAGCAGTGTGGACACCACGTAGACATGACCATGGGGCAAACTAGACGACAAAGACACATAAAGAGTGAACAGGGGGAGAAACATTCGGTAGTGGCAGCACAGAGCAGTGATTAAGGTCAAAACTGTGGCGCAGTGGAAAATGAACAAAAGCTGAAATGACAGCTGAACAGAGACACACAAAGGTCATGGTTTCACTTCTAATCAATACGATCTGATTATGAAGATCAGGCTTTTAGGAGATGACGGTATGGAAGTGGCTTTCGGTGTACCTATGTCCTGTGTTGCTGTAACTTGTGATGATTTTTTGTTATTCATTCATTATATTTACTTATTCATCAACAATCATTTAAATTCTATATTAAAAAAGGGAGAAATGCTCATCATTACTTCCAATGGCTCAAGGTGACGTCTTCAAGTAGCTTTTTTTGTCCAATCAAGGTATTCAATTTACATTTATATAAAATAGAGGAAAGCAGGAAATACTCAAATTTGAGAAGTTGGAACAAGCAAATATTTTATTAGCCATGTAGCATGCTGCTAAGGATGGTTATGTTGGTCTTAGGTCCAGTCTGAAATATCTCAACTATTGGAGCAACTATTGGATGGTTAATGATTCATCTAGCGCCATCATCAGGTTTGTCAATTTCATGTGACATAAATGTCATTCCAATCACCTCGAGCTGTACTTTGTGTTCAGTGCTAATTAGCAAATGTTAGCACTTCATCATTGTACCTGCTAAACATCAGCATGTTCATCATTGTAAGCATGTTAGCAGCTTCACATAGCCGAAAACTGTGAGTTTAATCTGGAATTATGTGATCAGAAAATAAGACCACAAAGAATCTGACCAAGAATTTTATTGCTTTTTGATTGGTGCCCAAAAATACTGTTGTTCGATGCCCAGCTCTTACTACATTGCCTACAAATGATTCATGGCCATTTCCATGTTTGGTTCTGAAGATCGATGCCAATAGGAGAACTTCAAAGTGTTACCACAGCCGTTGTGGTCTACGTGATCTCAACCATTACACACAACAGCAGACATGTAAGGAGTTGCTATATGTAAGCCATGCAGTATGTAGATACAGTTGGAGGTCGGCTGGATTCAGACTCACTTTCTGGTCCTGTTCTGGACGGCCTGCTGCTGCTGTTGCTGCTGCTGCTGCTGCTGGACCTGCTGGGAGGGGGCAGGCCTCTTACGACTGGGCTCCATCACCGGGGAGGGCAGGCCGGGCCGCACCGCCGGGCTCCCTCCATACGGGGGGCCGGGGGGGCCCATTGGAGCTCCCTGGTGGGGCATCCTCGCTCCAGATGGCATGCCAGGACGCTGGGCAGAGGAAGCAGGAGAAAAGACAGGTCACATATATGTAGAAAACATTCTCCGCTGTGTTTTCTGATTAATTATAATCACAAATTAGCGCTTCTAAAAATACAACAAAGGAAACATTAGATCAATCGGTAATTTTATGCATTTCCTTCTGACTGATTCAAGGTGGACTAAGGCGAAGTTTTTTGTAAACACACTGATCCTATCTGACAAAATCATTGTGTAGAGCTGCAACAAAGAGTGTCACATCACCTCCTAATCCGGGCCTCACAGATTTTTCCTATAAAAATAAAATTCTGGTGTCCATTCTGGTGACAGATTAAATTTTTCTCGGGAACTAACAGAATGAAATTGGAATCTCATTGCTTTTGTAACCTTTGGTAAACTTTCAGTAATCAAACAAAAGCTAAGCTGGTAAACATGAACACCCATTAAGCAATTTTGTGACGTCAATTTTGTGGTTTTCTGTGTTTTGAATCTTTTCCATCAGCCATGAAATAAATGGTCTAGTAAAGCTTTAAAAAGTGCCATCCAATATGGGATTTGCTTTTTGTTACATAGTCACATTACATACCAACATGAAACATGGAGCATGTTCTTTTGAACCCTAAAATGTGTGAGTGAAATCATCTGCCAGTGGTGCGAGATACAGATACCATCATTTCAGCTAAAATTATGTGAAAAATAATCTCATGCCTCATTTGTCTTGTTTAAAAGCGACTGTACCGAGAACACGCAGCACTGTTTTGTCTCTCTCTTATTTTCTCTCTTTTTCTTTTGTCTGATTTAAACAAAAACATCTGAAAAATAGACTAAATGAAGATTTTATTGCAGTGTGCAAACTCACTCACTCACTCTCTCTCACAGACACAAACACACACACACACACACACATCTCCCTTAACAATGCAAACAGTGTCAGAGTCCACAGTCCCACACTCCCCGTCTTGATGCCTGGGAACAACTGGGGGACTCTCACCTGTGCTTGTCACTCCAGTGGCAGCAGCTGCCTCCCGCCTCAATTTATTGTCTGTAACCACACTGGGGTTTGTGTGATAGAAAGAAGTTCTTTGACTCCTCTGAACCAGAGCACAGACCGCCTACTGAATGTAAAGAACCCCACCAGAAGGTAAAACACATCTACAGATAATAACCAGTCGTCTAATTACAATAATATATAATATTCAGACATGTTACTTAAATAAAAGTAGCAAGACTGCAGCATAAAAATACTTCCAGAAGTATGAATGTAAGAGAATGGCTCCTGTCAGTATTATAATTTCATATTATAGTATTGGATCATTATTCCTAATTTACAGTGGTAGCACTTTAATGTAATGGCTTGATCAAGAGCGAGCTGATTTTAACTAATTTACATATGGATTACCAAACTACTCCCAACCCCCCAAGGACACAAACGCTCCTGAATTATTTCTTTATCTTGAGGCTTTGTCTTGAAGAAGAGCCATCTTTCCAAAGACAGAGTGAAATGAAAAAGACATTGTTCAACTTCTGATCCTGTGTCTATATGCTAAATATGTGTAAAACAATGCTTATTTTCTCTTCCTGTAAAACGTAAAAATATTTTTGATGACTCAACTTAAAGGTCCTATCCAACATGATAGGGAGTGACAAGCGAACTGTCATTTACAACCACACAGATCCCTATCTGGACATGCAAAAAAGTGGTCCTGGCTGTCAAAGAAGGTTACCACATATGTGCCTGTTTATAATTACTCGTGTGTTGTTGTCTGTTCTCATCTCAGGGCGTCAAATACTGACGCTTTCAGAAAGGCTGACAAAGCGTTATTTGATGCAAAAGGTACCCCTCAGTGTCCATATGAGACGCTCCCGGGCGCGTCCGTATGAGATGCCCTGTCTAGACCCGAAACTATGTTAGTATACAAGGCATTGACAGCTTCCCGATGCCCTTTACCCTAACTATCACAGTGGTGTGTGCCTAAACCTAAGCAGAGACGTTTTATAGAGGAGAAATGCCACTCAATCACATCCTGAATACAACTCTATGGGGAAAGCCCGTAACTGCAAAGATGGCGGTTATCCCGCCCCTCCTGCTAGAAAGCAAATTGTCTGCTTTTAACAGCAGAAGTGGGAAACATATTTCAGCCAATTGTGTGGTTCCACTGATATTAGGGTCTGTTTTACTTAGAGTGCGCATGCGTGGTAGTAGTGACGCATGCATAGTCAACGCGTTCTCATCTCAGTGCGTTATTACATTAAGGTGTAATTATTTTACGCTAAAGGTACCCTTCAGCGTCGGCACCGCTTTCTACGTCGCAGCAACACAAAGGAGGCAAACCCTACCCACCTAGCCCTGTAGGGTTAGCCGGTCGACATGCATAATGTCCGTGACTTAGGTTTAGGCACCAACATTTCTGAGTGTTATGGTAAGGATAGTCCGAAATAGCTGCCCAGAGGCATTGCCAAGATGGCTGCCGAGTGGCATGACCTATAATGACTTTGAGCTAATGGCCCATTTATACTATATCCTGCGTAGGGTCTACGTGCGTACCTATGCCGTAGGCTACGCACGTAGCCATTCATTTATAGTTGGGCATCGGTGTGTCTGTCATTCTGCAATTACACCCCAAACGCTAGTCGCGGTAGCGCTACAGCGTCCACTGCGTTGACTTTTGCCTGGCGAGCCGGCTAACTTCTGGTTTAGCCCTCCGCTAACGTGAATTACGTGCGGCTGGTATAGCCGTTTCCTATGTTTTCGACCGAGTGGATCACATTCTGATCAAATAAGAAATGAAACAAGTCATTTCGCTGGGGTTATGCCGGTCAAATATATTGATCCACCGTGTTACAGCTGCTGTTTTGGCCGCTAGTAAAAGTTACTTCAAAGCACAGGCACTTCCTGTCGGCTTGGAGGCATTGCGAGGCTACCCAGTCGACCAATCACAGTGCTCACTGTCCGCGTCGCCTCGACGTACGGTTACATTTTTGAGGAGGAGCACGTCAGGCAATTGTATGCAGGTCGACCAGCTAACCCTACAGCTGTGCTAGCAGCTAGGGTTAGCCTCCTTTGTGTTGCTACATTTTCATATTGTTGTCATAGTTAGAAATTAAAAATGTACTGTTGAATAAGGTTTTTCATATCTTAAGTATATTCCTATTACATCATAGTGAACAGTTTCATCTCCAGTGATTAAGAGACATTTTTGTTGTCTTTATTTGAAAGATATGGTTGGATCATTTTGAACAGGCAGATTTGCTGTAACCTTTTTTGACTGACAGAACCACTTCTGCGCATGTGCAGAATGGATCCAGCAGGCAGTACAGATTTGGCACTTACAAATACCACTGATTCCACTTCTCTTCTTAACCTCTCGTAACAAAACCTCGTCAACAAACACAAACCAATAGCTCAGAACAGCGTGCAATCAGTCGCTCTTTCTTCTAAATCCAACTGTGAGATAAATATAGTAATAATCACGTCACAATCTACGGGACTGTCACCACTCAAAGAAAGCTAATGTAGTCACCTGTGATTAATGTTACTTTTTGACTGAAAAAAAACTTTCTGTGCGCGCTGTTATACCTCAGTTATCACGATGTAGACATTTTACACATTGTCCAAAGACATAAAATTCAAATGATTTTGATGTATATCCCCCAGCCCTGGTGGGTATTATGCTTACATGCTGCATGTTTTAAATAATTTTGCCTTTAATCAAATTATAACAAAGCTAATGGGAAACCATGGAGAAAAAAGTGAGGGTGGGGAGTCTCATTAAGGGGCCCATGTCTTCCTTTGCCCTGGGGCTGCTTAGCAGGTTCATCCGGCCCTGACTGTTGTTGTTTGATTTTATCTATGACAAATACAAATTTCATAAACTCATCAAAGAATTTGTATATAAAGTCTGCATAGTACCTATAGCTTTCAGATAAATGCAGAGAAGTAAAAAGTATAAAGTTGCATATAACGGAAGAACTACAGTAGAGTGCAAGTACTTCAAACTATACTTACATAAAGTACTTGGGCACCTTGAGTAAAAGTACTTAGCTCATTCCACCACTGAAATGCACTGAGCACAAATTGATACAGAAATGGTGATGATTTTTCAGTAAATATCAAACTATAAATATAAAGGACAGACAACTTAACCAAACTGTTGAGTCTACTTTTCCTTCTACCTCTCTATTATTCAAAAGAACATCTAAAACTTGTCGTTTTGTGCAGCCACGACTTTGTAGAAGACCCAAATGTTCAACAATCACCTTGCAAAAAAAAGAAGTCACAGAAACTGCCAGCTACATTTTTTAACACAATGGGTAAATGTTGTCGAGAGAGAGAGAGAGAGGGCAACTGAAGGAGACAAACCACGACCGCACAGGAAAAACCCCAGGAACCAAACAAAGAGGAAGGTGATAGGGCCCAGTAAGAAACTAATAACAAAACTGCATCCAAATGTAAATGCATGTGTTCACGAGGAGATTTCATTACTCAAAACAGATTATGACAGCATACGGCTGACGTATTATGTGCCCTTTGAAATGGTGACCAGGCAGAGATCCTGTGATAAGAAGCCCGAGCACACGTTGCTGTCACTCTGGCAGGGAGTTTGGTCGGCGAGGGGGGGAGGGGATGTTGGGGGTAAGAGCAACTGAGAAGGGTCTCCAAACAGGAGAGGATAACAGGCAACATATGGTCGGGGCCTCCTGCTCGAACATTGTCACCTTGTGGAGCCATATGAGACCCCTTCTTTTTCTCTCTGCTTCCTACCGAAGCTGGACAATAAAACCCAAACAGGCGTGGACTAGACTTCCAGCAGCCAGACAGAGACTTCTGTTACAAGCATTTGTCTGGAGAATCTGAGCCTTTCAGATAACAGATACAGAAAACCATAGCTGGATAAAGTCTAAGATGAATTTCCCTTAAATACACACACACACACACACACACACACACATACATACAATGAGCGGTACTCTATAATCTGACCTGCTGAACTGACTCCAACACTCTGCCCGGAGCTCTGCCAGCCAGCCAGCCAGCCAGCAATCGAATCTGCCATGTGGATGGATATCTGAGAAGTGTGCTGGCATCTCTGGAGGGATTCGAAGAGGCCAAACTTAACCCACACTCTACTAAACATATGAATCTGTGGGTTGCAACATGGACGGTCCCTTTAAGGGAGTCGATCGGAGCCCTGGAATCTATTAAAAACTGAAGATGAGGTTAAGATAATTTTCTTTTCATTATAGATTTATCATTTAGTGTATCAAGTGTCAGAAAAGAGGTAAAAATGTCAAACGTTAGACGCAAAGACACAAGTTAACGTATTCAAAATTCTTGTTTTATAAGATATTTAGTTTCATTAATTCATCCTTAATTTTGTGTTATTGTGTGGTGTTTTAAATGTAAAAATATAATTCATATATATGGGTGATAACTATCATGATGATTTGAACAATGTTTTGTTACTAAAATGAGTAATAGAAGGTTTTACATGTCAACAGTTTTGCTTGATGTGAAGCATTACACAGCGGAGCACAGTTTATTGCATTCGAAAATCGATTTCATTATTTTACATGCATGTATTTGCTTATTGATTAGAGATTAAACCATTTGGCTGCTCGCGAATTAGCTGATTGACAGAAAATTAATGGGCAGCTCTTTTTAATAAATGATCAATAGTTGAAGTCAATTTACAAGCAAGAAACATCAATCATCGTCTGGTTTCAGCTATATAACATGAGAATTTGCTGTTTTTCTTCGTTTTTTTGTTTGTTTTGTTTTTTATATTTTCAATTAATAAATTTAGCAGACACAGTTGTCCAAAGCGATGTATAAATAAGGTGCAATCCAAGCCACAGTAGATCAAGAAAAAGTCTTTGATATACTGAAGTAGTTTCTCTGATTAGATAGTAATCTGAATATCTCAGTTTTAGACTGAGACAGGCATTTGAGGACGTCACCTTCGGCTCTGGGACCTTGTCGTCCTGGAACTGGAACCCAGTTTCAGGGATTTAATATCAATTTGGTCAAAGTTTAACCAATTTTGCTGATATGAATATCTGAAATAAATTCGCCGTGCCCTAATTGAGATTAGCCTGTTAGCTGATGCTAAAAAACATAAAAGATGCTATAAAAAAAATTAAAAAGACATGTTCTGTGATAGAGGATCTCAACCATCTACTACTATCAAATAAAGAGTGATGGGTTTCTCTTGTAGCGTCTAATCAGGTAGTTCTTCTTTTATGTGGTGAAATTTTGAGATATCCAGTAGAGGCAAATGGAATCTCATTTGTGATGCTCAAAACACACATAAAATTACATTTAATGAGATTCAACAACAGCTTCTCTTTCCCCAAACAAAAAACAGCCTCCCTATTATTCTGGATCCAAAGAACACATTTTGGACAGTTTTCACAGAGACTATTTATTTGGTAAAAAGTAATTTCAATGAGAACTGATCATGGCAAGGTCTGTGGATTATCCAGAGCAACTGGGACATGGTGTTTTCAAAAGACAAGTGTGGCTGTTGAATTTTTATTAAATTTCACTTTCATGCTTTGAGCAACACAGACGAAATTTCTTTCATTTCCATTGTACTGGGATGGAGGCAAAAAACTCTATTTCACACTCCGTGCAAATAAAAACGAAAACTATCCGCATGGATAGATACCACTAGGTGAACGCACATTTTAAGTTAGGAATTTAGTTTTAATGACAAAGTGGATTTGGGAGTAAAGGTGGCGTTTATGTTCAAAGGTCGCATCTCTTGCTCTCACACAAGCGGACTCTGAATTTACACATGACAAAGCTACAGTGTGTCGTATTATGCTCTGGCTTATCGTGTTTCCCACGCAGAGTGCTAGAAGGTTTTTTGAGCCAGAAAAGTAATACAACGGGGGGGGGGGTAGGAGGTAAGGCAGATAGAAAGAGGAAGAGACCTCAGCCAGGCCTTCAGCCCACCCATCAGTCCTAGAGCCAGACCTCGGCCAAACACACTCCCCCACAACACATACACTGCTGCTGGGAGGCGGGAACACTACGACCTTCGGTACCCACAACAATGTTTGCATATAGCGCACTTCTTTATATTCTTGTGTGAGTAAATGTGTCTGTACACGTGAGTGTATAAAAGCTTGCCGAAGTGAGGAAACGTCATCCATTGCCACAAGCTAATAAACTCTGCCGAATTGTCCCCATATCCCGTGGTATAAATATTTCTCCATTCTGCAGTACACACAACGAGGAACCTGCCGCAACTATTATAAGAAGACTTTTCCGTCTTAAAATGTAGGGGAGAGAAAGAGGAGAGAGGCGGGGGAGAGGCAGGCATGAGAGAAAATAAGCAGAGGGAAATATTTGGCTTGGAGCGGCCAGAGCCTCATCAAGGTTAATTGGTCTGCTGAGAGGACACACTCATCTGGATCATCAATCACCTGGTCCATTGTTTCCTAAAGTCTGCCTCTGTGCGCAGGGCTTCAGCGCCAAAGCCCCTGTAATGACCGCTCCTGTCAGAGAGACAATACCTCATCTTGTTTCAGTGTATAAATCTACCTGGTGTCAGCATGCCCCACGCCAGCACTGATTAAAACTGAACTTAGTCAAGCTGTGATTTTAAGACATAAAAAGGATTTGACTAACAAATACCACCAAGTCTTTTTGACCTTCTCGATGTACTTGAGAATTAGGAAGTGATGGCAAGTTTCAGGATCTGTGCAAAGGTGAAATTTAGTTCAGCGGAAAGTTAAAACCACATCCAGAATGAGACAGTGTCTATGATGCAGGTATTAGGCCATTAGTCATTACTTTATCAATTAATTGTTGGGTCAATAAAATGTCTGAAAACCAAATCCTTTCATTCAATTAACAGCCTGAAAACATTCAGTTAAGTTTCAGAAAACTAATGAAGTTTTGTCATTTTTGCTTAAAAAAGAACTAACTGATAAACAAATCGTTTCAGCTCTATCAAACTTCTATCCATCCTTGAGATGATTTTAAGGGGTCTGCAATTGATTTTTGTGGGCAGAAAAATCTCTACACTTCTCTGCATTTTTCTAGTGAAATACTGTGTACTTATAATAGAAAGAGATAGCACTGATAATCAACCACAGCGTCCCTGGTTCAAGCCCGATCGTTCCCCATCTGTCTGTCCCCTCACTTCCTGTCATCTCTCCACTGTCAATTCTCTGCTAAAGGCATAAAAAAACAATATATACATGTATTCAAATGAAACAATCACACATAAAATCGTTCTTCAAATGGAAAAATAAATCGAAAGTCTTTTTGACCTTCTCTATGTACTTGAGGATTAGGAAGTTCAGTATCTCCAAAATGAGATGGACATTTATGATTAAATAATACTTTTCAAATTAAGGGCAAGATTTATCCAAATGGTCGCCAGATGATTAACAGGGTAGGAGATAGTAAAAGAGATTCAGCCGCACATAAGCCTGATTTTTTTTGGTCTTTTCTGTAACCTGTAACTGTATTTCCTCGTCATATCTCTTCTGTCAGTTCTCTAATAAAATGCCCCCTAAATACTTCAAAAATAATGACCCATTATTTTTACAATCCATTAATCACTTTCAGGCAACACTTTCTCTGTTTCCAGCTTTTCAAATTCAAGGATTCACTGATTTTCTTAGTCATTTATCAAAAAGAAAAAGCATTGGGTTTTGGATTTTTGGGTTGCACAAAAAAAGAAAAAAACATTTGAAAATTTCACCTTGAGCTTTGGGAAGTTGTGATGAGTATTTTTTCATGATATTTGAACACTGTAAATGATTAAGCAAAAAAAAAAAGAAGAATTGTCAAACATTTTGTTATTTTCAGCCGTAAAGATATTTGTATTTAAATGAAAACACTGACTTGTGATGAGGGGTCACAAGTAGAAACATCGTATTTATGGATTATGGAAGCAGTGTTTGGGAATCACTAAATAACGTGTGCATTTACACACCCGAGTCAATGTCTGCTAGAACTTTCAACAGGAAAGTGTCTCTGACCAAGACTTTTACATCACCCTCACCCCTCTAATTCATTTAGTTCATTGCCAAAACAAACTACAACCATGTTCTGTTACTAATGCAAAGTATGAGGCTTATGGTAATAGTTGCTTAACCTCAAACCACAAGCAACACTTGACTTGACATTTCATGCTAGCTTCACATGAATGGACTGATTGTTCTGCATGATTTCCAGGATTGGCCGTCTGCCTCGGCTCCGTCTACACTACTACGTCCGTTTGTCTCGTGACCTTACAGGTTCAAATCCTTCCACCAACCAACAGCACGCTGCCTAGAAGGCTACTCTGACTGTGTTGTTGTGAGTCGACTTGTCATTTCCCCCCTCTTGTCTGTGACTCCTAGGGAAGCATTCAGTGTGCTGCTCTGTTAGCCAAAGGGGGGAGCTGGCTGCTTTCTGCTGCTGCTGCTGCTGCTTAGCTTCTATTCCTACAATTATCCTTTTTTTGTCTTAAGAAATCCTCCGCTCCACATCCTTCTACAGCTCAGCTCCATCCATCCATTTCTGCTCCACTTCTTGTTCTCTCAAGCCATCTCCTAACAGGCTGGGATCCAGGGGGTGGGGGGCTGGAAATAACCTTCACATGGGCAGCTTTACCCAGCTATCTCACACACACAGACCGCTGCTGCTGCCGCCGCTGCTGCTGCTGCGCCGACTCACGCACAAACACACACACACACACACACACACACACACACAGATGCATGCCAGAGCCCAGCTCCCTTCACGGGAATGACGGACAGCGCCACTCACCACTCCATGGACCAGGAACTCAAACAGTTTGCTCTTGGTGGCTTTCCTGGCTCCCCCCGCCGTCTCCTCCGTAGCCATTTGCTCAGTCCCCTCCGTTCACCCTGCTATGTCTCCCCTCTCCTTCTTTTGTCTTTCCCTCTCCCTTCACCCAGCCTCCTGTTCCCCTCCCCTGCTCCACTTTCCTTCTCTTTGTGCTCTCCTTTTCAGCACTGCCTGTCCCTGACTCTCCTTCTCGCTCTGTCTCTCTCTCTTCCCTCCCTCCGACTCTATTTTGAATGTGCAGCAGCCCTGCTGAGTCTCTCACTGTGTCTAGCTCACTTTTTAGTTGAGCTGCCTTTCAGGAGCCCAGCACGTCTCTTGGAGGTGGGGGGGGCTGGGAGGGGGTCTGGCAGGGAGGTTTCAGCCAGCCCACCCTGCCGTTCCCCCGCACAGCTGTTGCATTCCATTGGTAGATAAGGGCATGCGGCGCAGCGAGGCTGCCGTTTGGTCTAAACGAGGGCTGGGGAGGTTTGAATCAGTTAGCCATTCCTCTGCTGCAGCTTCCCCCTGGTGACCGACCCAGAGGCCACGGTCAGCACACACAGAGCTCCGAGTCCTGGGCTCATTCTCAAAAAAAAAAGGACATTGGTCTCTTAAAGGGACCACGCTGCATATCATTAACACATGTGTACACACAGAAACTGCCAGATATGATGGAGTCATGACGTGGTGATGATGAGGAGAAGGAGGGGATGGTGGTGTTAATTTCTCAGTTGAAAAGCAAAACAACTGAGTCAGGGGGAAGTATATTTGACAGGTTTGCCTCTCTCACAATAGTCGAGCTAATGTGCTCTAAAGCCATTTCACAAAAGAAAACGGCCACGTCAAGAGCACCTTCATTTGTGTGTGTGTTTCCGTGTGGGGCCTTTTGTCAGAGTGCATTCACAGGTTAGTAGTACCCCCCCCCCCCCCTCCCCACTCGCCTCATTAGCTCTACCTTTCACCCAGTAGTCCAGAGGCTACATTCAGGCTGTGACTACAGTGTGACGGCTGGTCTGCACAGCAAGGTGACTGTGTCACTTCACACGTGTAATTAGGCCTCTGTCGTGCTCCCTTCTCAAAATGCAGAAAACTGAAAGCCCCCCAAAAAGAGGGTGAAAACAACACAACCTCCCTTGATGGACAGATGGATGTCCAGAAGACTTACAGAGGCATAGCAGAAGTTATAATACATACGATATGTTTAGACTGTGACGCCATCTCACACTCCAATTACACACAAGCCCGAGCTTCGCCTGTCGCCACACAGGTCATTACTCTGACTAAAACCACGCCAAGCTGAAGATTATAACTCTTTCATGTCTCCCTCTGCTTCAGCCCCTCTATATTTCTCTCCCTCCCTTCTTTCTTCCAGCCGTCAGATCATGGGGAGTGAAATATTTATGAGGTTATTTGAATGACAAAGGAGGTGAAGTGGGGCAGATTCAAAGGGGGCTTGGCTTGTGACACACGAAGGCAAATTGTCACTATGCGTTTCCTCTTCCTCTGTTCTGCCGGTGTGGAAACATCAGGCAAGTGTCAAACCAGGTGTCAGAGTAGAAAGGAAATTACCCTCAGTAGATTTAACAGTTGATAGAAAGCTTTGACGCAAAGCAGCACAAAATCTGTCATTCAAGTATCACTATATTCTGACGATAAACGATAGGAAAAAGGGGTGTCGCTTCAATTCTGCTCCACACTGAGAGAAAGCTCTGCGGTTATTGAGTGGACAGCTGATTAGTGGGTCTAGGACCTCTAGGCGAGACCTTGTGGAGGATGCACTATCCCTCAGCAATTTCTAAAAGCACCCAAGCTGCTTTTTATGGGTGCATATTATCCAGTACACGAGACGTAAAGACACCATCACAGTTAATGAAAGTTAGGATTAAGGAGCAGCAGGAAGAGAAGCAATTCAGGATCATAATATATGACCTTCACCCCCCCTTGATAATTAGAATCGACTTATTGATAGGCAAAAGCTGGCCCTCCCATGTGTTGCTGACGGCTTGTAGTGTTGGTTTGCTTGGTGGCGACACCTGCTGTTGACATGAGTGCACTGCTGATGTCATTAATCCTGTCTGGGAGGCTTTGAGGAATTTAAGGAACCCAAACCTCCTCAGCAAAATCTCACTCTCTGCTGTCTCAATCCGTCTGCATCCTCCCTGCAGTCACATACTGCAACAGTATCTGTCCACATTGACGCTATGCATTAGATTAACCTTGTATTACGTAACACATGACGCATGCTCTACATATATTAATCGCACAGGCACACAAGGTGTGCGTCTCAGTTTCCTGCAAGGTCAGGAGCCCAACCTTATCAAGCTTATCCATGCAGAATCTGAGATTGTGCCGATCCCCAGTCTCTCCAGCAACGGCACGTGGGTTCAACGATAACAAAGAGATCCAGCAGCTCGGTCGTTGCAAAGGGGAGCCTTGAGTGCAGGAGTACCCCCTGCCGGACCCCCACCATCTCCCTCACCAAAGCCAGTCAGTCTCACCAAATGGTAATGTCCCAGTGTGTAGCAGACAGGGGGTAGAGGGGGGGTTACAGGGGGTAAGGGAGCAGCAGTAGTATTATTGATGACCAACAGAGGGAGCAAACAGCCAGTAAGGGGAGTGCCGACTGAGGGATCCATGTTCAGGGCCACTATGGATGAACATAGGGCATCATGTAGCGTAAAAGCATAAAAATGCAAAATATTTTTTTGCAGGACTCCAATCACTGTGCAACTGATTACATTTTCTACAAATCTTTTTTTAATCCTCATCACTTTTATTCTTCACTTCCTTATTTGGCAACAAGAGGGAGACAAATAACTCCTACTTAAAGTCGTGTTTCATGATGGCTGCATCATTATCAACTGCATAGCGTTGGATCCCAACCAAGTAACCAACTAAAATATGAAAAAAGATGTAATGTATAAAATACTGGATAATTTCACCTCTTCAAACCTCAGTAAAAACTTCAGAAGTAAGGCTGCAAATAACGGTTATTATTATTATCGTTTCATCCTCTGGTCTATAAAATAGTAAGTGTCAGATTAATCAAGAAACCCACGGTGACATCTTCAACTTACATATGTGTATGTATACACCTAAAATATATATTTTATTGCCATCAGACTCCACAACGCCACAGCGCCCAATGTCTCCTATCTCCGCTGACAGACTTTATCCTGATTCTATTTTGACTGTATTTGATTCTACTTTTAAGGTATTTTGTTCTTCTTTTTACATTCCTGTGCTGCTGTGCCAACTTGAATTTAACCTAGAACATCTTATCTTATCGTATATTATAAGATTGTCTAAGTGTTGTCTAAGATTGTGTAAGTATTGTCTGGCATTTTTGCTTGTAACAGTGACTTAAACGATTCATCGATCAAATTATCCAAATAATAGCTAATTAGTTTGCTGTTGATCAACTAAACAATTACTCTACTAATCATTGCACCTCTACTGTGAAGGTAGAACTGTGACGAGGGGCACAGGTATTTCTCGTTTGCATTATTCTAAATGAGCAATAATCAAAGTTAAAGTTCAGGGAAAAAATCATCCATGGTGTTATTTATTATGTTAATAAATCAACAACTGTCATCAGTTTGATTCAAATGTTGCTGAACTCTGATTGGTTCAAGGAAGTACGTGACATCACCTGTTCCCAACTGAGCCCCGTCCACTTTAAACCACTGAGAAAAGCGAGGACGAAAGTAGAAACACAAAATTCGCTTGTGAAATAACCCAAACTGAAATCTTGTGTTAATAAAGTACAGAATCGATGAGAAAACAGGCTGTGAAGCACAGTCATAGTACATGAAAAGATGTGCTGCATTCAATCAGAGGTCTTAAACAGGTTGTCAATTACCTGTAAATCAATCAGGCAGTCGAATATTTCATTCGCTTTTTTAGACACATGAAGTTCAATATTGGTGAGAGAAGCTGGGTGTTATTTGATTGCTTTTCTCAGTTTAGCCGATGACGACGTGCTACAACAATAGGCTGAGCAGAAAGCAAGAAAGGGAGGAAAAGAAATCCATACAATTGACGGTTTTGCCCTCTTTTTCTGCAAAACTCCAAACAATTAGCCCCGCAGAGAAAGAAGGAGAGAAAGAGCAAGAGCGTACAAAGAATAAAAATGTATACCGGTGCGGATTTACAACGTACAGTTCCCAGTGGCAACGTTTACATACCAGAAACCACGAACCTGCCCTCGTCAACATTATTGTCACAGACAGATGGGGTGCACTAGGGGGAATATGGACTTTACTAAGGGCACGGAGTAAAGTCTGATTCCCTCCCGCTGCTGGGCCCCTCTCTTTTTCTCTTTCTTCAGTTTAAGAGCTGCACACAAAACCCAGCTCAAGCCGCTTAAAGGCCAGAGCTCTCGGAAAGCTACTCAATGGCCATCAGCCACCATCAAAGGGAATGTAGAAAAGCACGCAGACCTGCACCTTCACTGAGGGGGATTAAGGAGCGGAGAAGTACATTTCAGGGCCGGTTTCTTGCAGCCAGGCATGTGTAATGAAGAGGAACCTGCGGAGAGAGAGAGAGAGGTCTCCCATGGTGGCTGAAAACAATAGGGCATCTGCTGATATTTCGTGATCAAAGTAATTTGGTACAATATACTGCGAGGAAACAGACGAATGAGGTTTCACAAAGCGGCGGCGCTAACCTAAGAAGCTGCAGATACGGAGTTTAGGGTCGACCTTGGATTTCAAGGCTTGTTTGCAGACAAAGCATCTTTTTCCAGACGGCGTTTAGGGTTCAGCTCCTTGGCTTCTCCCGTCGCCATAAAAAGAGGAGGCGTTGTTGGAGCAGATGAAAAGACCGAGCCATAGTAATGAGCAGAGTTACCCCTCCAGCAACGAGAGACACACCGG